CTTCTTAAGGTTTCTTGAGAGATGGGCTTCTTGAACCCTTAATTAAGGATCTTGGATTCTTAAAGTAACTGAGGAACGGTGTCTCAGAAACAGGTATGAATTTTGTGAAAAAGCCGATCGGCCATGAAAGGGATGCAATTGCTATACAAGTTCCCCATTGCCACCCGTTAAGCCTTACTGTATCCGCAAACTTCTTTAGGAATTCCACCATAATGACTTGAAGCACGATAGTTATCGCTATGATTCCAATGAACAACCTGTTTCTGTGAAGTCCTTTGAACACATTTTTCTTCTCCATCTCCCTAGCATTGAATTCGTTAAAAACTTGGCAGAGCACGAAAGTGTTGAATATGAGTGTGTCCTTCACTTCCTTGCGCACATTGAATATTGACATACCCTTGAATTGTAAGATCAAGAGTACGGCTATTTGATATAATGACTGAACCAGGAGATTCCTCCACATGACATTGGTTATCAGGGCCTCTGTTCGGCCAACTGGCTTTCTCTTCAGGAGCTCGTTGGTGGGTCGCTCTGTGGCGAGAGCCAGAGCTCCCAATGTGTCCATGATGAGGTTTACCCACAGCAGTTGAACTGCTGTCAAAGGGACCTCACCGGCTGAAATTGCTGCGATAAAATTGATCACAAGAGCTGCTACGTTCACTGTTAGCTGAAACTGAATGAATTTCTGGATATTGTTGTAGACACACCTTCCCCATTTTAAGACTGTGGCAACGGATGCAAAGTTATCATCTAGAATTACAATGTCTGAGCTTTCTTTTGCCACTTCAGTGCCCTGAATTCCCATAGAGAGTCCAATATCTGCTTCTTTTAGTGCAGGTGCATCGTTGGTGCCATCCCCTGTGACGGCTACCACGTGGCCTTTAAGTCTCAGACACTTTACCATTAGAAGCTTGTCGGAGGGAGAGGACCTTGCCATGACCCGGATCTTATCAACTTTCTGCATTCTCTCTTCGTCGGTATAATTTCTGAATTGAACACCTTCTACAACAGCATCTTCTTCATCTTTGTCATTGTGGTCGAGGATTCCACATTCAAAAGCGATAGCTTTTGCAGTGAAAACATTATCTCCTGTTATCATCTTAATGGTGACTCCTGCAAGTTTGCAAGTTTCCACCGCTTTTGAGACACCAGGTCGACAAGGATCTTTCAGACCTACTATTCCCATCAAGGTCAAGCCATCTTCCTCTAATACCGAGTCATTTGACGCTACTTTATGAGCGAATGCTATGCATCTGAGGCTACTGGCCGCCATACCTTGGATTATTGCCTGAATTCTGTTCTTTGCGGTGGAGTCCATTAAGTCAACTGACCCAGTGCTTGTGTAGTAGTGAGAACACATAGCTAGGACCATTTCAGCTGCTCCTTTCCAGTGTACATGGACTGTATAGTCAGATTTTCTTCGGACCAAAACTCCGCTTCGTTTCTTTGCTGAATTGAAAGTTTCAACGCGGAGAACTTCATGTTTCTGCTTTACTGACTCCATATCCATACCCAGATTTAGCACAGTCCAAGACAAGAGGGCCTTCTCTGTTGGACTGCCCGAGAACTCAGGCGTTGATCCTGAGTCTGATACACAGACACTTCCCGTTGTGTTCAGACCGGTGCCTTGGTAAAGCAGATCAAGAACGTCAGGTGAGATCATTTTGGTAGAGTCTTCATGGATTGACTCTTGGCCAAGCCAAAACTTGGTAACCTTCATCTCGTTCAGTGTTAAAGTACCTGTTTTGTCTGTGCATATCACTGTCGCCGAGCCCATCGTCTCGCAAGCCGAGAGCTTTCTGACCATAGCTTGATCAGACATCATTCTCTTCATGGAGTAAGCCAGCGTCAGAGTCACGGCCAATGGCAAGCCTTCTGGGATAGCTACTACGACAATGGTTACTGCAGCTGCCACGATTCGCACAACGGAATTAACCACAGTGTCCACAGGTGTTTTGCTCCCGTTGTATTCTCTTTTGCCCTCTTTCTCTGTGTTTCCAGTGAAGTAACGGACTAATAAAACTACCAGAACAAGTGCTGCCACCGTAAGACCAATTTTTCCGATGGTGGAGGTCAGCGTGTTAAGACGGACCTGCAAAGGTGTTCTCTCGCTGGAATCTTGGTTTATGGAGCTCATCGTCTGTCCCCAGGTTGTGCTCATACCCACAGAGACAACCAGCATCTGAGCAAACCCGTCGACTATCTTTGTCCCAGAGAACAAGAAGGGATTATCCTTGTGATTCACTTCAAGATGGTCACTCTCTCCTGTCATACTAGACTCGTCCACCTGAAGTGAATGCCCATCCAAGAACAGACCATCAGCAGGAATCTGATCTCCGATCTTCAAGAAGACAACATCACCAACAACAACGTCAAAGATGGAGATATGTTGCCGCCTGCTGTCCCTAAGGACTTCCACTTTGATATTATTGCTTATCTTGGACAGCTTGTCGAACTGTCTCTCCTGCCTGAAGTTGCTGAGAGCAGAGACAACTATAACCAAGAAGACTGCTACGAAGATGCTTCCGCCTTCATACCAACCTTCTTTGATGCCATGTTCTTTGATACCGAAGCCAAGGGCGAAAGTGGCGCAGACCAACAAGATCAAGATGGTTGGGTCTTTGAAAGCTTCATACACAAAGAAGAGAAGTCCTTTAGGCGGTGGCTTATGGTAGGTGTTAGAGCCAAAGAGGTCACGGCGTCTACTGACTTCTTGCTCATTCCCATGGATCCCTTTGGTGGTGTTTGTCCTTAGGGAAGCGGCCACACCCTCCACGCCGCCCAGCGCTCGGATGCGCGGTAAGTCCTTACCCTTCATGATCTCCACAAGTTGCTCTTGATCGATGTCAGGAACGTAAGAGAGAGGCATAGAGTTGATCTTTGCTCCATCACCGGACTCGAGGGCTGTGTAGGAGAGAGAGAGAGAGGCATCTGAGGTTTTGGGATCAATCCTTGCGGGAACAATCTCCTTAACGAGAGAGAGCATAGCCCTCACAGAGTAGATGGCAGCGTAGGCAAAACGCCAACGCCTCTGGGCCTTGTTGAGGCTGGAGGTGGTAAGGTTGAGCAAAAGAGCACTGTAATCATATTCCTTGAGGTCTCTCATGCTTAATTTGTGTGTAAAAGAAAGAGAGTTTTTAGAAGGAAAAAAAGGAGTCTCGCTCTCTCTCACCTAAATGTGGTGTGACTTGTAAGACACTCAAGACTCGCAAGTAATGATCTCTTTCTAAAACACTGAGCTTCGTGCTACTATTTAAATCCGTATTGGCCGCCTTTTGATTGCTATTTATCTGCTTTAAAATATTGAAAACTCTCATGTTAAGTAAGTTGTCCTAGTTTAATATTTTGAGGCGGTGTAACCCACTCAAGAAACGTTGTAAACACGAAGATGTCATGTCCGCACATCCTTTTGTACTTGTGTTTGACTTATCTATTGTCTCGTGTTTCGGTTTCGAACCATTGTGCCCTAAAAGAGAGAGTTAGTCTGAGATTTGGTCTAAAGCAGCCGTAGGATGTAAATAATAGAATCTGGTGTGGACAAGCCGTCATTGTAGAATGAGGAGCAATAGCGTGCGTGTACCAACTTGCTTAGTCCGCACGGACAAATGAAAAGAAATGGGCAATATAGTAAAAAGAAAGAAGAAGAAAAGGATTAGATCTATTGAATCTTCCACACCAACTAGTTTGGTATAATATCTATCAAGTGAATTTATACTTCTCAAACTCAAAAACCGACTACTTTTCCACAAATCCATTTTTACAAATAATAAAATGACGACGAAGGCATTATCAGTTTGATCACCGAAACTTCGTAGCACTTTCCAGTTTCGCTGTCATCTCTTTCTTTGTTTATGTGACGAGAGCAAGACATAAAGCAGTTGACTTTGTAAACAAACAAAATAAGTTGACTTCCACTATAACTAGACGTGAGGTGAGATCACCAAAGAAAGAGCTCTGCAGATTCAACATCTTACTATAGTGTGTAGGTGAGACAAGATTTGGCATAAAATTCCGATACAAGTGAATGATAAAAGCACTAATAAGAAACTCCTCAAATCATATACACACAGAGAGGCTTTGGTAGCTCTTGTATGTGGACAGGATAAGTAACAAGAGTCTTTGCACCAAAAGCAGTAGCACCAAACTTAACAAAATCTCAACCAACAATGGCTTGGGATCGAGAATAGATAGATTGAGCATCATCATCTTATGAAGTTAAACAATGATTCAAGAATAAGTAAAAGAGAAGAATACAACTAATTAAGCTCAGAACTAATAATAACAAGGCTCTCAGCCTGAAAGGTAGTTAGCTATGGTTTATGATGATGGTTAAGAAGAAGATCCCTGGCAGTGCAGCAGTTGTTGGTGTGCAGAAGCAGTGAACCAATCCCCATGAGATCCCTCCACCTGCTGCGCTCCGGCATTGAAGCTAGGCACACCAATCCCTCAACCTCCTTGGAGATTCGCGCATCTAAAAACGCACCAGAGCACTTGTCTTTGGCGAAAGCAGCGCACTTGCCCATGGAGGCAGCCACACATGCCTGGAATTCCCGCTCTTCGCACTTGGCCCGCTCCCTCATGTCACCGGAGCCCCGCCACCACGGCGGCTTACAGTTGTTGGAGGCGGAGACGGCGCACCCAATTCTAGCACCTTCCTGGCACTGGTCCTTGATTAGGGTTTCGCAACGCTTGAAAGCGGCTGACCATGAATCTAGGGATCGGAAAGCTAGAACGTATGAGCCACCGGAGGGTACAGGTCCCCGGAGCAGCGGAATCGGACGGTCGAAGACGACGGTAGTCGCAGCCGCCGAGTAATCATCATCGTCCATCAATTCAATAATATCTCTTCAAAGGCCCATCGGGCTTGCTTGAGGCCAACCCACCCACCTTTATATTTATTTATTTAATTAATTAATTAATTTTGGGGGATCCAAATACTACTAGATTCTTCTTACTTGATATCCTCTGGTCTCTCTCTCGATAACTATAGCTGCCGCTACGCCGTCTCCGTCTCCGGCTTGATCCGCCTAGTAGTAGGTATCTCCGAGAATCTTGACCTCGCTTCTTTCCTGCTTCTGTTTCCTAGGTCAGGCTTCGTTTTTTTTGTTTTTCTGGAACTCGATTTTGTTTTTGGAGTTCTCGACCCTTTTGTTGTGGAATTTCAATGATGCACTTGTGTGTGTTAGTTAGTTATCCTTGGTGTTGTTTTTAGGGAGGGAGCATTCATATCTTTCTCTTCTACTTTTCTTCATGGTGTTTATTTTTGGGGTTTAGGGTTCTAGGTTTTTTCAAGATCTGTTGGTTTCAATCGAGCTGGGTATGCTTTCCTGTGCTCATATTTTTTAGGAAACTTGTAGTTCTCCTTCTAAATTAGCACATCATCATCTACACTTGATTCCATTGCTCTCTCCTCTCACCATGTATGTTTTCCTTTTGCAGCGATGAGTAAAAAAAAGAATCCTAATGTTTTCTTGGATGTCTCTATTGGTGGGGATCCCGTTCAACGGATTGTCATTGAGGTATTACCTCTACCTCTGCTTTTTTTGTTTGTTTTTTTTGCTTTCCCGATTCTTTTCCGTCTCCAGCTTCTTAAGTTTTTTTTTTTCTTCTGTCGATGGCAGCTTTTTTCTGATGTTGTCCCCAAGACAGCGGAAAACTTCCGTGCCCTCTGCACAGGTACCTTGGGCTTGCTCACAACACTTTCTGCATCTATCTCTGCCATTTTATCTCCCCAGATTGCTCTGGACCCTGCGGGCTTCAAATTTCATTGTTATGATGTTTTTACTTGGTGCAGGTGAGGCGGGAGTTGGAAAGGCCACTGGGAAGCCTCTACATTTCAAAGGATCATCTTTCCATCGAGTTATCAAAGGATTCATGGCTCAGGTATTCTTTTGCAACCCTCTTATTTTTTTATTTGATGGTAAACGAGATTCATTAGTGGTCTCTTTCTTGCAGGGTGGTGATTTTTCCAGTGGAAATGGTATTCTTCAAACCTGTTATCCTTTACACACGAAATCATATTATTTTCCAGTTTCCAAACCGTATATATTCCTTGACATCACAATATGCACTATTTGCAATCATATCTTTTTGTGTGATGTAGATACCTCCGGGACGTAGTCATGATCTAGTTTGTAGTTAATTAACACATAAGTTTAGGAATTGACACAAGGAGCTAAGTTTATAGAATGAAAAATGGCAACTATGGAAAGGCGAATTAGGTTCCCTTTTCATCTTCTGAATGAAGTACTTCTTGCTATAATGCCGTAGAGATACTCTTGGAATGCTATTACTGATGTACTCAGCTTAACCTGATGATAATGCCCAGATTTGTAAGGAGTTTGGTTGATTTGCAGGCACTGGTGGGGAGAGCATCTATGGTGGGAAGTTTTCAGGTATAATATTGTTTTCTCTGTTTTCAGCTTTCTGCTATTGATTTTTTTTCTCATTATATCCCGTTCTTCTTTTACAGATGAGAATTTTAGATTGGATCATGATGGAGCTGGAGTCCTTTCAATGGCAAATTGTGGCCCAAATACCAATGGGTCCCAATTTTTTATACTTTTTAAACGCCAACCACATCTTGATGGGTAATCTCTGCTCCTAGATTTTGTTGTTTTGAGAAATTCAAGTTCCTTGTAAAGGGCACTCAAAAGGTTTATTAATGCATTGTCAAGGGTCCTGATTTTTATTATCATCATATTGTAGGAAGCATGTTGTATTTGGCAAAGTTGTTGAGGGGATGGGAGTAATCAAGAAAATGGAACTTGTGGGGACGAGTGATGGGAAACCTACTAGCCCAGTTAAGATAATTGACTGTGGCGAAACGTCTCAGATAAGAGCACATGATGCTGAAAGAGAAAAAGGTAATGAAGTTAAATCTTTGACTGTGGAGTTTCTAGATTATTGATGTGGATACTTATAATGTTTTTTAGGGAAATCGAAAAAATCAAACAAGGGCCTTTCTTCTGGTGACATATCTGACCGTGAAGCTAGGGGGACACGCAAAAAGCAATCAAAGGAGAAAAGGATAAAGCGAAAAAGAAGATACTCTCCGTCGGATTCATATAGCTCAAGTTCTGACTCAGATTCAGATTCGGAATCAGAAACATATTCATCCTCCTCCTATGAGTCTAGTTCTTCCAGTGATGGGAAGCATAGGAAGAGGAAGTCAACAAAGAGACACAAAGGCCGACGCGGGGAAAGAAAGATTAAAGGACGAAACGGGAAAAAGAAAGCTCGGCGCAGGTTTGACTATTAGTTCATTGGTAATTTAGTTTATTCGCTGCCAGTTGTTTTGCTTGATTATTAGTGGTTCCTTACAGAAGCACGGATAGTTCAAGTGACACGGAGAGTAGCAGCAGTTCTGATGATGAGAAAGTGGGCCACGATAAAGCAAGAAAGTCAGTGATAGCTAAAGGTAAGTGTGCTTGTTAAGGATCTTGGTTCTTTCAACCTACCCTTGGCAACTACTTTTCGTATCTGAAATGCATTTGTGTTACCTCCTGCAAGTAGGCTGTTCTGTATATATGAGAATCTTACTCTTCTTGGAACAGATGGTGGAAAAGTTTCAACAACTGTGCCTGCTGCTGATTCTAGTCCTGCAGAGAAGAGCTTTCTGAGAGAGGAACCAATTTCTTTCCTGAAGAACGATGAACCTGTGGGTAATGGAAAGGCCACCAAAGCAGATAACGCTGATCAACACGCCAATTTGGATGACTCATTGAAATCAAGGTTTATCTCCCTGGCTTTATGTATATCAGCTTTGCTTCTGCGATTTGGTGGTCACTGACAAACTTTGCCATTTTTTATTGCTATACAGGAGCAGGAGCCCAATTCGTAGGACTAACCAAAACAGCAGGAGCAAAAGTCCTAGTAGGAGCCCTGTGAGAGATCTTGGAAATGGAAGCAGAAGTCCTCATGAGAAGCCAACAGAGGGAACTGTGGGGAAATCTTCCAGAAGCCCATCTCCAAGTGGTGTGCCCAAGCGCATCCGAAAGGGGCGTGGGTTCACCGAACGCTATTCCTTTGCTCGGAAGTACCATACGCCTTCTCCTGAGCGTTCTCCTCCTAGACATTGGCCTGACAGAAGAAGCTTTCAGGATAGGAACAGGGATAGGTAACTTGATCTATACATACTTACAACAAAGGAAGACAGCTCTGCAGATAGTACCAAAGCCTCATTTTGTTTAATTTTGTAGGTATCCGAGCAACAGAAGTTACTCTAAGCGCTCACCGAGGGGACGCTTTAGAAGCCCACCCAGAAGGAGCCCTCCAAGGTTCGCTCTCTTATCTTTATACAGATTTCTGGCGTGGGACGATATAGCTTCTAAACCACCACCTAGAGCCACTTAATTAAATTTATATCCTAGAACGACCCTTTTTGTGATATTATTTTGGTTAAGCAAAACATTCTTATTCAATGCTGAAAGTTGAAAAGAACAACTTTATAGCAATGTTGGATGCCCTCTGAAATTGAGTGTTGTCTTCTTGCATAGGTACAACCGGAGGAGAAGGAGCACTTCTCGGAGTCCAGATGGGTACCGTAGACGCTTGAGAGACGGAAGCAGGAGCCAGAGTCCGAGGCATCGTAGCCCTAGCAAGAGCCCTAGAAAGAGGCAGCCAATTAGCCAAGACCTTAAATCCCGTCTCGGGCCACAGAGATCCCCCATCAGAGGAGGACGCACCTCTCCTGCAGGATCACTCAGCCCTTCTCACTCATCATCTCCAGCAGGACAGAGAGGTCTGGTTAGCTATGCGGATTGATGATCACTCATCCATTGTTTTCTCTGGTGACTTGCGAGTTTTTGTTGTAATTTCAGTGTTTTAGTGCAAGCAATAATAGGTAATGAAATTTATGATGTTGGTCGGATGTAATACTCTACTTTAGTTGCATTACAGATTGTGGTGGAACATTGATCAAATTCAGACTGATATATGTTGGCAGAATTAAGTTTGGGAATCATAGTTTGGCGAAACAGTATCGAACAAGTAGCATAGATATCTCAACATGAAATCAAGTAATAGAATCGTAAAGAAAGAAGGTTCATGATATTCCGCATGTTCATAGATAGGACTCAAATCTTTCTTTACCACAAGAGGGGATTACAATGATCATGTCGTAGAAGAGATGGATCAGATGGGTTGGTCTTTGGGAACGATCTGATCCTTGATCCACATGTAGATCGGGACTAGCACAAACCAGGCAGCTGCTAGAGTTCCCAGGAGGAAGCGTCCCAAGAAAGAGAAGGGGTTGTTGACAGGCTTTTCTACGTCCTCTTCCTTTGGACCAAGCTGCATTTATTTGAATGATAAATTTAGCATATATAATCAAAGAGAGAAGAAAGCAGAAAAGGTGAAGTGAGGTTACCTGGAGAGGAGAGTCACCGGAGGCAGGTTTAACACCAGTGACAGAACATCCCATGATAAGGCCGTGCCTGCGAACACCACGGTACCACTTGGGGCCAATCCTCTTGAGCTGAACGTCCTTGAAACCGGCATTCTTGAACCACTCAATGTACTCTTCCTCCTTGGGGAAGAGCATCCATACATCAGCAAAGAAGCGAGAGAGCCAGAAGGTTGGGTAGACAGGGCCGATGAGACACGCTTTGCCACCGATCTTGAGAACCCTGTAGGCTTCCCTTATTCCCCTCTGCGGGTCGGGCCAGTACTCAATGCTGTGTGATGATAAAACACAATTATTCACCAGAAAGGAACCTCCTAACACACACACACGATTACAATAAGAAAAGAAAAAGAGGATACCTTCCAGCAGAAACGTATCTGTCTGCATAATCGGTGGGAAAAGGAAGATCCTCAGCATCTCCCTCGACGATCTTGCATTCTTTCAACGGCTCCTTTTGCTTTGCTTTGGCCAGCTGATGTGGCGACTGGTCCAGAATGGTGACATTCTTAGCCTTCACTGTCTTGACTATGCCCAGAGTAGTGAAACCAGTGCCGCCGCCGACATCGACCACGCGCATGTCGGGATGGCTGAGATCCGCCGGCTCGAGAGCGTCGTCCCTCATATCCTCGGTCCAATGCCCAGGATTGATGATATGGTCGTATACGATGGATAAGAACCTGTAGAACCAGTAAGCCTCCTTTTTGTGCTGAATGAACCTAGGTTGCGCCGATGGCCGGGAAGTCGAAGCCGGCACGCTGCTGCATCTAGTAGCCACCGAGAGTCTAGGTGTGGTGGTTCGGGTCACTGAGAGTAAAGTCGGCCGAGGAATCGATCTGGCATGCAAATTGGAACCGGGGAAACCTAAACCTTTGGGGAAGGTAATGGCCCCGTTGAGCAACGAAGAAGCCATCGATGACAGATCGAAGTTGAGCAGAAGAAGAAGCAGCTTATCTATCACCAATTCTCTCCGCCAATAAAAAAACACAAACGACAAGTGTGACTAAACCCTCTAACTCTAACAGAGTCAGCAAAGACTCCAACCACATATTTTATGTTGTCTGTTGCAATGACACATAATCCTTTATTGAGGCCCATGGGCCCGTTTGTAAGAATTGGGCTTTATGGTTTAATTGTACTGTCAACTGTAAAAGCGACGTGGCTTTTGGAGGAAAGACGCCCATTTTTCTGCAAATGGAAGGGAAAGGGAGAGAGACTTTCGACGACAATTCAAACCTGTACGGACTAAGAAGACTAGAGTCTCTCTGACGGTGTCAGATCTGCGACTAGCGAGAGGATGCGAATCGGCGATTCTCAGGAGGAAACGGCGGTTTACGAGCAGGAGGAGCCTGTATCTCTCGGCGGCGGCGGCAAGCACAGGATCCTTGCAGAGCTTGCCCGCGTTGAACAGGAAGTCGTTTTCTTGGAGGTAACTCTCTATCTCTTTTTCTCAATTCCGATGTAGGAGGTCTCTCGTGGCTAGTTCCTCCGCGTTTTGCTACTTGATAGCAACTGTCCATGTCAATCTTTTTAGATCAATTGTCTTGTTTCCTGTGAAAGCGAAAAGCATGATAATTGTCTTGCCTGCTTTGTTAATAATAATTTATTACTCTATGAATTGCATTCCCAAAATCATATCTGCTGGGTTCTCTTTGGATCCACTTTTGAAAATGGTTCTCTCTTGATCTTATTCTGTGCAAGAATATTTAGTATTATTCTCTCTTGGTTATCATCTATACTTCAGTCGAGGCCTATTAAAGTTAACCTTCTCTGGTGCACACATAATGTGTTTTGTCTCATCTTTGCCTGACCTCTCATATTACTCCTACTAGGGACCTCTAACAGTGATTTAAGTAGCTTTACTCTCTCTTCTTGTTTCATGTACTATATCCAGAAAGAGTTGGAAGAGGTTGAGAACACAGCTATTGTATCAACCGTGTGTGAGGAGTAAGTGTGGGATACTCAACCTGTGTTTTTTTCTTTTTCTTTCTATTATCTCTAGGAGTTTTAGGTATGTTATCTGGATTTGATTGAAACTTGTGCGTTGATTGGTGATCAAATTGATATTCCCTTGGTTCGCAGGCTGCTCTGTGTCATTGAGAAAGGACCCGATCCTCTGTTGCCACTGTGAGTGCTTTTAAACCTTGAAACTCTAGTGTTGGTTTGGACTGAATAACTGATGGATGTTGTGGTGCTGCCAGAACCAATGGACCTTTGAACTTAGGATGGGACCGGTGGTTTGAAGGACCAAATGGAGGAGAAGGCTGCAGATGCTTAATACTTTGATTCACTAGAGAGAGTAAGGTTACATATAGTTTCTTGCTAAGATATCTTCTTACATGGGTTCCAAAATGGTGGCTGTAGCAGTTTCAACACTTGCCACAGAGAAAAAGCGTACAGATTAATGAGCATTGGAATTGCATAGAATGGCTTAGTTACAAGTACGTAACAGTGTTATATGTATATGTAATGTATGGGATCCGAATCTGACATGCGAGCAATAGAGTTTCAGCTTCTCATCTCCTTATTCTAGATCTTGTTGGAAGAAGTGCATAGTGATATTTGGGGGCTAATAGAGTAATAATAATACTAATGAGGAAGTGGGTAGATCTTGAAGACCGTTAAGTGTGTGTCTCTCTTTTTTTCTTTTTAGATTAACTTTTGTCCACATCCACCCTCCATGATTCACACACGCTAGTTTCGAGGTTCAGAAATACATACTGTCACACACCTATGTTTAAGATGATTTATTATTATAGATAGAGCGATAATGGAACCCAGAGGCCAGAGCACATGCCTCCTCTCTTGTCTTTTATTATTACTTATTACTGTTCTCCTCCACTTCTGTGTTTCCAGTCTTTACACATACATTTTACATGTAGGTGTCTGTAAAAGTAGAACCCCCTTTTGTTTTTTTCTTTTCTCTTGGGTTCCACTGTGACAAAAATAAAAGCAATTTATGAGTTTAAAAAAAAAAATGAGAATCATAGAGGGTAGTAGTAGAAGTGATTTACCGTTAGTTTATTCGATAGCTAAAAAGGTAGTTTTTGCTTTCCAACATATTCCTCAACTTTGTGATGAGTAAACAAATACTGCTAATGTGGGTTTTCTGACAACATTTGAATATACAGTATTTCATCTATTCTTATTGGTCCAAATCAGAGTTGATGACCTCATTAGAGCTCATTCTTCTCCCCTAAAATAAAACTGGTCAAAGTTTGAATTTGTTATCTAAAAAGAAGAGAAATGAACACATAGATGTGAGTTGGTCCTATAGAGAAATGATTGAGCAGCCGAAACAAACACGTAACAACATCTACAGCATATCTGGTCAGAGAGTACATAAACATTGGGGATTCAAACAATTACCTCGTGAAGAAACCTAAACATTGAAACATGCATTATAGCCTCACTCACATGCTCACATAATGCCAAACCTTTTTTCCCTGTTCCCGCCTTCCTTTTTTTTTTTTTTTTCTTTTTCTTTCATGGCATTGGCAGTAGAATATACCATATACATTGGTTGGGTGATTGAATAGAAAGAATGACTAGGATAAGTAAGTTAGCCGTTGTGTCTGAAAGTTGTAAATCTCGAGAGTAAGTGAAGTGGTCCGTTCGTTTTATGAAACTTAAAAAAAAAGTCCAATGTCCCTAACACTAGAATGTACTAGTAACGTATCTTCTTCACGTTAACGTTTTGAAATGGGAAATGAATGAAATAAACAATGCAAAACGTAGAGCAGCCTGCGAACCAAGGGAATACTAATTACATCTTGAATTGACCGAAACGGCAGCCGCAACGGAAACCAGAGGCAGAGATAAAGAGCTGCCTTGGGAATAGAGAGAGCGAGAGAGAGAGAGAGTAACAACGAACGGTGGTCTGGTCATTACTTTATTAACTTTGAAACTGCCACGTCGATGCGGTCAACAGCGGGGTCCATCTCCCCTCATCTTCCGTTCCTTATATTCCACCTGGCATTTTACTTCTTCTTCTTGAAACAAAAAATAAAAACGAAAACTCTTAACTAAGTAGTGCGGGCTGGGGGTAAGTAAAGATAATAAATATACAGCCCAAAGGGGTTTGATCTTTACTTTATTACTAGTACTCAAACTTAGCCATTATTAACTCAGAAATGTTAATGCAGAATTGTCAGTGTATCCTATACTATTATTTGGGGAGTACAATTTATAAGATACCCTTAACTAACCTTCCATTTTGTAAAAAATTACTTAAGAATGCCATTAGAAATAAAGTTTTATAGAGTAAATTAATTCAACTCATTAAGGATAAACAAGTCAAATACTATTTTATGCAATTTAATTAATTTAATTTAATTATAAAAACGAAAATCTATTATTAATTTTTTTAAAAAGAATGACCAATCAAAATGAACATATAAGATTTGATATCTAACTTAGCACATTAATTTGTTATTAATCATTATACTTCACCTCTCATCTTTATATTATTCTATTTCTATAAAATAAATAAATTATTATATCATCTACATAATAAAAAAAAAAGTAAATTTTTTCCGCATATACAAAGATTTGAATTTTTAAAAACGAATATAAATTGTTCAATGTATGAAAGAACAAATTTAACGGGTCAAAAATTCATATTTGAGTAATATATTTCTTTTTTAATATCATCAATACTTAATAGATCAAAAAGTTAAGAAATATAAATACTCTAATTTGATTTTTTGAAACAAATATTTATAATATTTACAATTCATATATGATGAAATGAGTTATGATCCTTATAACTATTTGAATATTTATATTTAATTTCATATATATTTTTTTAAATTCATAATTTTACATACTACAATAAATTTTTTAAAGATTTTAATTTGGAACATTTAAAAAAACTTTAATTTAATATATTAAAGAATATCATAAATATTTAATAGATTAAAAAGATAAAAAAAAAAATACTAATTTGATTTTCTAAAAAGATATGTTTAATATATTTATAGTAGGCGGCGGGTTAAAAGTAATGTATTATATGATAGAAAGTTATGATCCTTATAATAGAAGACATTTTAAGATTTTATGATGAGATGAGTTAAATAAGGTTTGACACTTCTAAATATTTGAAAATTTAATTCTGCAAGCAATTTTGGAAATAATGAATAATAGATTGTGCCACAATATTTTCATAGGGATTGTAAAATGAAAATATAGACTCCACACATGGATCGAATTTGGTATTATTATATACCAAATATATGTTCATAACATATTCGATTATGTGAATAATTGGTAAATTCCGTAATTACCTCAAACAAATCTCTATTTCAACAACCAATGAATTAGATTTTGAAAAAAAAATTTCTTAAATTAATTCAAAATAATAGCTAACTTTTTTAACTAATTCAAAATAATCTACGTTTTAGATGCGATTCATTTATGATACTTTGATTTTTGATCTAACTAAATTATATGCACTCTCATTTTTCTGGTTGTTAACATAAATTAACTCATTGTTCAAACAATATTATTTTTTTTGAAAATAATATTATTTTCCGTTTTCATATCTTTTAAAAATATATCCATAATTGAGGATTACAGAAAAATAAAAATATATTCATTCTAATATTATATATATATGGACTGACATAAAAAAATTAATATTTTTTTACTTACTATTATAATATATCACGATTTTATTCTATAACTATATAATATATAAATTTTGTAATAAATGAAATTCAACCCGTACTATAGTACGGGTGATGATCTAGTTAGTAATTAAAAAGAAAAAGCACGTTATAGGAGGGGTAGGAGTGTCCTTTTGAGTTAGGGAGTGGTGCTTTAAAGAAGCAGAGAAGCGGGAGAAGAGTGCTGCAGCAAGAGGAGGGGAGGAACCAATGTGAAAGAAGAAGAAAAATGGAAATGGAGAAAGTGAAAGAGCAAGATCTCGAGAAGCAAATCGGCGGTTGCATGGCCGGCTTCTTCAACATCTTCGATCGCCCCAATCTCCTCTCTCCTAATAAGCGTCTCTCTTCCTCTCCCGTAAGTTCTCTCTCTCACTCGCTCTGTTCCTACCGGCAATTATATTGAGACTTACAAACAAAACAACAATGTCTCTGTTTCTCCAGAGCGCTGAATCTGAATCTGCCTCTGGGAGGAGTTCCCCGCTCAACTCACGGAGGAATCAGCAGAGTGTGTACTCTACCCCAGAGCTACGGTCTCCGCCGTCGGATTCACTGAATCTGACGACTCTTCCAGCAGTCATTGAAGACTTTAAACAACAAGGATCTTCTTCTTCTTCTTCTAGGTCTTCGTCGTCACCTTGGAGGTTCTCTAAAGAAGCTCCTCGGCTCTCCCTCGATAGCAGAGCCGTCGTGGATGCCAAGGGGTGCCTCAAACCCAGACAGATCCGATCCGATGCGGATGAGAACCTGCGAGGCTCACCCAGCGTGATCGCACGGCTCATGGGATTGGAGCCATTGCCCCTCCAGAGATCTGCATCCGAGTCCAGGGTCACCAGAGACTACTTATTTGACTTTCAAGATGACAAGGGAGCTGAAGATCCGGCGGCATTTAGGAGCGCCCGAGCCCAGCCAGCCAGAGCTCCACCCTTAGTAGTACGCCGAAAGAGTTTCTTTGATTCCGGTGATTTCTTCCCGGAGCCAAGGCAGTGTGGCCGCGATTTGGAGAGAGTTTCCAAAATGAGTGGAGTTGACGACGCTCCCCCGACCGATCTGGAAACCCTCAAGCAGCTTCTCGAAGCTCTCAGGCTCAAAGGACTCTTGCACTCTTCACACAAACATGAGAGCAGGAATCTCGTCTTCGACCATCATCAATCTCCGATCAAACCCATCAGATCTGGTCTAGTGAGGCGGGATCGGGGCAGCAGAGGAAGGGGACGGATTTCCCCGAGCGTCAATAGGAGACCAAGACCAACGCTCAAGGAACAGAGGAGAGTCGCTCCACTCCCTTGGCGGAGACCAGAACCTCTCCAGACGAGTGGCAGCACTCTAGCCGAGGAAACAAATTCTGATATGCAGATGTGGAAAGTGGATGTGTATAACAGACAAGGCAAAACCTTACTGGAGAGATGCGACAAGCTGCTCCACAGCATTGCGGAAATGGCCGCGGCGGCTGAGGCCGGAGAGTCACAACCGAGCCCCGTCTCTGTTCTTGAAGCCTCAATTTACCACGAGGACTCTTCCCCGTCTCCTGTCATGAAACGCACCCTTGACTTTTCTGCTGGTACTCCCTCAGCTCACCATTGCTCTCTATTTTTGGGATTGTGGCGCTAACTAACTCTTTCAAAGTCAAAACAACTAATTGTGGTAACCCCTTTCTTATCTTCTATGACAGAATCCGAAGACGAATCCTGGGGTGGCTCAATATTATCATCGTCCGACTCTGAATATGTATACATTTCGGACATCCTCCGAGCCTCAGATTGCCTTCCACAAGAGTCCGACATCTTCTCGTTCCTGGAAAAGCAGCAATACCTCAAAGGAAAATGCGCCTCCATAGCCGCAGCTCAGGAAAGACGGCTCATCTTCGACGCAGTGCAAGAGATTGTGGCGCGGAGAAGGAGCTTGCCCCCGTGGAGGATGGTGGCAGAGGCTGATAAGATGCAAGTGATCTGGTCTGAATTTCAAAAGATAAGAGAGAAAAAGTCGTCCACAGATGAAGAAGAGGACCTTGTGGGATACGTGTGCGGGGTCCTCGGAAGAGATCTATCAGAGGACCGATGGCGAGATTGTCAGGTGGAGATGTCAGAAGCGGCTCTTGACATCGAACGCCTTGTATTCAAAGATCTCATCGGTGAAACCATACGCCATTTAGCTGCTCTTAACAGGTCCGACTCGCTGCGTAGGAGGCTGCTCTTTTGATACAAACAAACTAGACTAAAATCTCTGACCCACCTACCATGTCTAACCAAACATGAGAGAGTGATAGTTCTTTTGTGTTCTTTTTGTATTATCAATTGAAATGTGTGATTGATCACCCGTGCATAAACTTGCGACTTGCGTCTGTTGTCTAAAACCTTACACAGTGCTGAATGCCACCATCCGCTTTTTTTTTTTTGTAATTCTGAATCAAACTGCTGCTCATTTGTGTGGGCTACTTTGGTACGTTTTTACACTTGTTTACAAGTGTTATGGGACAAGTGTTATGGGCTTCAAGTGGACCGTTTATCTCTAATCAGATTCTACCCCAAGATTCATCTACTTCAGTAGTGGCCCATTCAGACCCAACAAGGCTTTTCGGCATTGACTTTATCACTTTAAGAGTAGAGAGATAAATAACGCAAAAGATGCCAAGGCAGTATAAGAGAAGCGGATCATACAACAGTAGTCTCTTTTCTTTGAAAAACAGAATCATATAATAATATCTTCTACACGGTAGAAAACGAGACAGGTAAACACATCACAACACACACACTTATTTTTTTGGATAGAAAAAAAAACGTTAATGGGAACAAAGCCACGTGAAGGTGGGAAGAACGCACCAATTAGAGTATAAGCTGACAAGTCAGCAGAGAGGTCACAGTCGTGGACCAGTCCACTTCCAACACCACCACAGCCGTCCCTTCGACACTTTGGCTGACAAATGTTCAAAGGTAAAGATGATATTGGGACCAAGATTTTGCTTGGGACAAGCTATGCCCCACGACTCTCCTGCTAGTGCTCTCTGGTCGCTTCTCCTCTGCTTCTAGAGACCAACCATTTCCACCAACTCTGTTTTCAGTTCACACACCTCATTCTGCAATGCCCACCACCGCACCAGTGGAGTTGTAAAGAGCCCAACTTCTTTCTTCACTTTGTTCAAAACTGGACTGGTCAAACCATCTCTCTCTCTCTGACCCTACTCCTACACCCGAGATTTCTAATGGGTGCACAATCTTCACTGGGCCACCTTTTGTCACCCGTCTCTCTCTCTCCCTCTCTCTTTCTTTTTTAATCCTCCTCCATAACATTATACCTTTCTGGTTACTATTTGAAGAATGATCCTACTCTTGAAGAAACTCTTTGCCAAAGAGATCGTAAGTAGTAATAAAAAAAAAGGACCAGCCCAGATGATTCTGTCTGAAGAAGCAGTGAGTCCCTCTCTGTTATCCACCTGCCGGATGTTTAGCAAAAGTAAACTAAATCATAAGATAAAGCTAATCTCATAATAATGTCTGATCAAAAGAATTTAGGAAAAGAAGAGATGGTTCATTTAGTTTTGTCAGCTAGCTGCAATGGGATCAGTAACAGGAAGACTTACTCATTGGTTGCTTTGCTTTGAGCTGTCACAGCCTCTTTTAGTTTTTGCGTTACAAGGATTGTGTTGTTGGGCCCCAACATTACTGAAATTGCCTCCTATTTTCCCACAGAGAGCACAAGGATTTTTTTCCCTTCCACGTTCCACCATTCTTTTTTTTTTCTCACAGATGAATCAGGAACCAATCCTTTTGCGCTTCATCTGAGTCAAAAGCCTGAAAAAGTGTGGAACACAACCACATATAATACATCTCAGCCTAAAAAGCAATACCATACCTACGACACGACTGGAAAAGAGATCAAACATATGGGATAAGAGGATAAATAAATAAGGGAATCCTTCAAATGGTAAGTTTCAAAGTAAAAGTGTTATTGTATGATCTTGTCTGCCTTTTCTTTGAAAAAGCCAAGATTGTGGGTGTAACTGTTATCAAAAGATAAAAAAAAAAAAAGATTCGTGAGATCTTTCTTTCTTGTGACTTTTTCCTTCAACTAGGCTCCTGCTTTATGGTTTGGTTTCTCTCTAAAGGCCTCAACTATAAAGTGAAAATTTCTAAAGCTATTTATAACCCTTTGTTAGACAGTCAGTCCCCATTCGGATTCTCACAACCAAAAAGATTGGTTGCCTCGGCCATTCAGAATCACACTACTTTTTCCATAAGATCAAAACCCTTTTCCATCTTTGGTTTCTATACTCTTGTCTCTCAGAAACCAAGAAGAGGCCATATGAGCTATCTCCTCAGGAAAAGAACCATGCTTATAGTAAGAAGCTTCACCATCTTGCTTCTCAGCTGCATAGCCTTTAAGTTGGCTTGCTGCTTCTCTAGCAGCATTTCTTCTTTGAAGGCGCTTCCCCTAGTTGGCCACTTGGAGTTTGAAGATGTGCATCACGCCTCCAAAGATTTTGGGAATAGATACCAGTTGATTCCTTTGGCGGTCTTACATCCCAAATCGGTAAGCGACATCGCCTCAGCGATACGACACATCTGGATGATGGGCCCTCATTCACAGCTTACAGTGGCAGCGAGAGGTCGTGGACATTCACTCCAAGGACAAGCACAAACAAGACATGGAGTTGTTATACACATGGAATCACTCCATCCCCAGAAGCTGCAAGTCTACAGTATGGATGCTCCTGCTCCATACGTTGATGTGTCTGGTGGTGAGCTGTGGATAAACATTTTGCATGAGACCCTCAAGTACGGGCTTGCACCAAAATCATGGACGGATTACCTACATTTAACTGTAGGTGGTACTCTGTCTAATGCTGGAATCAGCGGCCAGGCATTCCGACATGGACCACAAATCAGCAATGTTCATCAACTGGAGATTGTCACAGGTTAGTTCAGAGTAGATAAAAAAAAGTTGCAGTATTCCTGTTTTGAAAGCATAGACTATATGGTTGGTGACTATTAACATGAAACCCTATAGAGATTTCCGAGAAGAGCTACTCCCTTTTTTTATTTCCTCAAAGAGCTACCCCCTAATGTCATTCCTATCGACTGCAGGAAAAGGCGAGATCCTAAACTGTTCAAAGAGGCAGAACAGCGACTTATTTGATGGTGTTCTTGGTGGTTTAGGTCAGTTTGGCATCATAACGCGGGCAAGAATAGCATTGGAACCAGCACCAACCATGGTAACCAAAAAAACCATAGTCGCTTAAAAACTGTAGACGTATCGAAAAGGGGTGTCCTAACAAACTCTGTATAATGGGCAGGTAAAATGGATAAGAGTGTTGTACCTGGATTTTTCAGCTTTTGCCAAGGACCAAGAGCAACTAATATCTGCCAAGGGCCACAAATTCGATTACATAGAAGGGTTTGTGATAATAAACAGGACAGGCCTCCTGAACAACTGGAGGTTATCCTTCACCCCGGAAGAGCCTTTAGAAGCAAGCCAATTCAAATCTGATGGAAGGACTCTGTATTGTCTGGAGCTAGCCAAGTACTTGAAGCAAGATAACAAAGATGTAATCAACCAGGTGAGAAAACAGAGTAGAAGCAATCGTAGAATCTTCTTTGGTAGATGACATTGGAACTGAATATTTTTGTCCAATCCAGGAAGTGAAAGAAACGTTATCAGAACTAAGCTACGTGTCGTCGACACTGTTTTCAACGGAGGTAACATATGAAGCATTCTTGGACAGGGTACATGTGTCTGAGGTAAAACTTCGATCGAAAGGGCAATGGGAGGTGCCACATCCATGGCTGAACCTGCTGGTACCAAGAAGCACAATCAGAGAATTTGCAAAAGGTGTATTCGGAAACATACTAACGGATACAAGCAACGGCCCAGTCATCGTATACCCAGTGAACAAATCAAAGTAAGAAAGAAAGAAAGAGCTAATGATGATCTTTTTGTTTCACAGCTTAGTTAGTTGTTGACCCAAAAAAAGCATTTTTGGTGGTGAGCAGGTGGGACAATCAAACATCAGCAGTAACACCGGAGGAAGAGGTATTCTATTTGGTGGCGATCCTGACGTCGGCAGTCCCAGGGAAGGAGGATGGAGGAGTAGAACAGATATTGAAGCGGAACAGAAGAATACTTGAATTCAGTGAAGAAGCAGGGATAGGGTTGAAGCAGTATCTGCCACATTACACAACCAGAGAAGAGTGGAGATCCCATTTCGGGGCCAAGTGGGGAGAATTCGTGAGGAGGAAATCCAGATATGATCCATTGGCAATACTTGCGCCTGGCCAGAGAATTTTTGAAAAGGCTGTCTCATACTCATGACCCGTCGTCGTCTCGTCCGTGGAACAAAGAAAGATGCATGTCGTTTTCGTGGAATTATTTAGGCCTTTTGTTCCTACTCTATATAAGTAAACATTGTACATACTGATTCCGATGATCCGTACCGTATATATCCAACAGGGAAGATGAAGAAGAAAGAAGATGCAACCACTGGTATGGGCTCCAATGATGTGGGCTTATTTATTTATACTCTTTTGACTTTCTTTCAGGCCCAATAGTCCCCTTATGTGGTCCATTACAAAACGAAAAGATTCCAAGCCACTGCATTTCTTAAAGCTACTGTATTTTACTTTTCTTGTATGGCAAGCAAGCTGATGATGTGAAAATATCTCTATCTTGCAGTAGACAAGTAACCAATAACTTGTTTTTATAACAGTGATAAATAACAACACACTTGAGTCTTCTTGGTATGTTCCCTCAAAGTGATTACAACTTAGCATAGATGTATATATGATTGAGGGATACCAAAAACAAGACAAACCTACCTTTCTTTTTCTGGTGAATTATCAATCTCTTCTTGTGATATTATATATTAATATTAAGGTCGCCTGTGGGCTGTGGTCCATTCCATAACATTCACGGACTCATTTACTAGCACTCTTGTTTAATGAATGGTACAAGAAACAACCTTCCCCCATCTTTCTTCTATCTTACATATCCACCTCTCACTACTTGCTCATCACTTTTTTTTTGTGGTTAATCTTCTCTTCCTGCAATGACATGCCAAAGGACTTTTTTACATTGGGATACATACAATCTCTTCCATATTCATATTACTATAACCAAATTTACTCCCCTCTCTCTCTCAACAGAGTACCTACCTACCACTGGTAACTGGTTAGTTGTTTTGAATGGGTTTAGATCCCAACGCGACATGTTGTTGGTCCGCTGCTGCCCTGTGATATCCCCATCATTGATAACCTCGGTATTTGGCAGTTGAAGGACTTGAGAGAGTCTTTCAATGTACTTGTACTAGACTCATCGTCATCAAAATACGGCGACGACAAGCCTGACCCGTTTGTGTCTGCACACTCTTCAAACTCGAGACAATGCTGTGTGGGTGATGCAAATGGGCTATCTACCAGCCTATCATCCTCCAAGCTGAACAACCGGAAAGCAAAAATATAAATACTCAGATGATCTTCTTCAAGCTCACCAAAACGACTATCAAACTGGGAATACCTCTCTGGAAGTTTGATTGCATCCTCATCATTCTCTTTGGTTTTGGTACACACTCTCTGGTTTCTTGAAACTGCCAGCAGGAGAGAGCGATCAGGTTATCACACATTTCAGACAAGCATAAATTACTTAAATCAGAGCAAAACCGAACCTAGTCGTGGAGAAACAAATGTTTGGTCGAAACTGAGTTGAAACTGTTTCTTGACGTCTAGAAGCTGCAGATTCATCAGCCTTGTGCTCTGAAGCTCAAGAGCTCGCTCTTCAAACCTCCTTTTCCACAACAGATCTTGGGTGTTGTCATGAAAAGCCCTCCCTCCTACACACAAAGCAATCAATACCAACCCAACTCTTAGGGGAAAAGAAAGAAAGAAAGAGAGCTTGATACCAAGCTGGAAATCCATAATGTCCCTGGAATCAAGGCCGGTCGCAGATGGCTTAGCCCTGCACAATCAAAGCGTCATAAAGACATGAGGAATCAGGAGCAGCTCAAGGAGGAAGAGCCAAAGTACCTGTACTTGTCTGGGACTTTGCCTTTCTCCTTGTAAGGCTTAACAAGAACCCTGGAATCACACACAAAGTGAGGGTTCCCTTTGCCCAGAATGCTCTTCACCGTCTCTGGGTACATGAAGGTCACGAACCCAAACATCCTCTTCTGCTGGTACGGTATCCTCACGTCCTGAACTGGCCCAAAGGTACTGCACCACCATTGCTCTTAGCACACACAAAATCTAACAAGAAGAATGGGTTCCAAACAAGATTAATACCTGAAGTAGTCGGAAACATCTTCTTCCCTGAAGATACTGTCAGCCGGGAAAGTCAGATAGATCTGTCTGGAAGCCGGGCAGGCCATGGCCGAAAGGTCGATCCTCTCTGGCCTCCATCTTCCCAACCTGTGCAAGTCATCGCCCATCATCAGAGCAGCAGCTCTGCTACACATTTTACCAACCAAAGTTTCAGATACCCATCCATCCAGATGATTTAAAAAAGAAAAAAAGCTCCAACCTTTGGGCTTCACTCTGCTGCAAGTTAACACCTTTGGGGGAGAATGGATAACCGGTGAACTGATGGGCAAGTCTCGGAGGAACAGAGCTTTGATGATGGATGTCGAATTTGCAGTCAGCGTAGGAGCACTGTCCCCATCCGAACCCTAAATCGGACTCCAAATCGTCGGAAACGCAACCGCCGGTTCTCGGAGGCAAGAAAGAAAGCCGCTCGTCGAGGTCTTTCTTGGCCTTGGCTATGACAGAATGAAGTAGATTCTGAGGCCCGAAAGCTAACCTTATCATCTCCTTCTCTCCGTGATCCTGAAGGAGGAGGAGGCCCATGATCTTGGAAGCATTAGCTGGGTCTAAGCTCTGGATTCTAGAGAGCACGACCCTAGTTGCTTCGTACACATCCATAGAAACACACTCTTTGGTCGATGAGACCTTGTCTCTCTCTCTCTTAATCTTTTCTTTGGTAGGAAAAAAGAAACACTGCTTTTCTTGTCTTGTGTTGTGTACAAAAGGATGTTTGGTTTCTTGTCTTGGACTTTAGCAAAGCTAAAAAGGCTTTCTTTCTCAACTACCTTACCATCATCATCATCATCATCATCACTCCAGTACCACTCCACTCCATACCTAAGCTTCTTTCTCCTCTTCTCTAAATTCTCAAAGTTGCCTCTTCCCTCGTGTGGTGTGGAGTGGGGAAATAAAAAAACCCAAAAGAGTAAAGAGTGGAGTGACTGTGTCTTCTGGGCTGCAACTCCCAAGTGAGTGGGTCAAAGCGTCAAACTTTGGAGTTTTGCAATCAAACACAACACACTCTCTCTCTCTCTATCATTTATTTTTTTTAAACAATACAACAAAACCCTTACCATATGATTTTCTATTGTATCATCATCTTTTATAATATACTAGAAATAAGCATATTTTTGTCTGTTTCAGCAGCATTCAACAGATTACAGAATGTGGGTTTCTGATTTTCAAACTTTTATTTGCAAAATCAGTTTTATGCAGACATATTATTTGATTTGACCTGTCGTTTCATAATATTCCATGCATACATTTTTAAATTATACTCCTTAAGCTTATCTTTTTTTTGGTGCTAAAAATTGCTTCTCCTTTTGAAAAAATGAAAAATAATTCAAAAGTAAACATGCATATGGGTCCAATAGTCAGTCTTATTGCAGGAAAGTCTTCTTTTATTATTATAGATACTCAAGGATTATAAATTTATCAAAAAAGAAAAAAAAATTAACAAAACACTTTACTTAAATGTTTAAAAATATAAAGCTGAAAATTGATGAATGTTAAAAAAAGAAGAAGAAGAGAGCAATCATTAAAATAATGACGTCGATATGAGTTATACGGCCCTCACCCTCACCATTGCTAAAATTACTGAGCACACTGCACACACACACATACATACAATACTTTTTTTTCTTTTTGAAAATCAAAAGAAACGTCTATATATATATATAGAAGATGATTGCATTTGCACGTTCTCTTGCTTTCAACCCTCTCTGACACCTCCATTTACACACACGTACGTAGCCATTGGGTGTGATCCTCACGCGCCAGTGATCCATCACACATGCATTGTATTGCAAAGCTACTCATATTATTAGTTACCTCCATTCATTGGGTTTCAGAAACCACAATTGTCAATTGAGGTTGAGCTCTTTCTCTCTCTCTCCCCAGTTACTACTTACCTTACTTTTTCAAGTCATCACAACACAAAGTCTGTGCCTTACTTCAGTCGTCAACGACGTTCCAATCATCAATGCCTTTTTGGTTTCTTCCTAAATACTGTCTTTACCTCTCTCAGACTCTCTCGCATAAGTCCATAGTACTAATTTTATAAGCAACGGTCTCTCAAGTCAAGCAATTGGTGGTAATGCGATATTTGGATCCATAAAGGCATAAACATACACTCTCCACTGTATGGGCCTATATTCTCTCGCTATGTGGGCCTGTTTTATTAAACCCAAAGATTAGATATTTTCATCAACAAGACCTGCTGCAACCACATTTGATTTGTCCTGTCGCTTCAGTTCTCCTTTCTTTCTACTACCACTCGCTTCCTATTCTTCTTATTATGGGGTCAAATTGTGAAATCTGTCTTCTCAAAACTAACCGAGAATTCATGCAGCTGTGTATTCACTATTCAGACTTACTGATAAATATATTACGCAAGTGTTAGTGTACTTTACATATGCATTGGATTCCTGATAAACAAAACACAGATTTGTTTAGTTCTAAAGAATTGCCTTAATCAGGCGCTTATAAAAACAGTTAGTAGATATCAAGCTCTTTCTATTCGCATGTAGGAAGGGTCCTCTCTCTCTCCTGGCTTCCCTATCAAGGTTCAGCAGCTCGATTATCCGATTTCGAAGCAGAGCACGAGAGAGGATCCTCTGTTTTATGGAGTTAAGGGACTCTTTAATCTTTATGCTTCTCTTCATCAAATCGCTCGATTACCTCTCATCGACCTCCCACGTCGGTGGCTCGGACTTTGACCGTCATGTTCGTGTTCATCACTGGGGTATTGCTCTTCTTCTTGGAATTCAAGAGGTGCAAGATGGACGAGAAGGCGTTTGCGGAGTGCACGGCATGGGACGCGTTTCTTCAAAAAGTTTGTTCAACGCGTTCTAGGATACTCCCGTTACGCGTAGTCACCCTTTATTAGTATTCTGGCGGAAATATTAAGTGGCTCCGAATGCTACTTTTTTGCTTAGTCCATGTTTCGAATATGCCAAGAAAAAAGAGAGTAAAAAAATTCGTAGAAAGAGAAACGTACAAACTTGTCCGGTAAGGTAACATCCAAAAACATGAGAATGTTAAAGCAACCTGATGATCTCTATCTTATCTAAACAAAAGAGTAACTGGATGCAGCAGATGAGGTTCATAAATGTTAAAAAAAAAAAAAGATTGGAGCAGCAACGTCGTTTTTAAAAGAACAAAATTAAGAAAGCAAAAGGAGTCTGATACACACGTCCCTCCTTTAGATTCATAAAAATTTCCCATGAGCCCAGAAAATAAATAATCATCGCACACTTTGCCTCGCCTTGACCATCATCCGCTTTAGTGTTGCCAGCCAGAAGTTGCATTCGTCCCATTCGTTGGTCGTCAGAAGTACCTGTTTGTTTGTTTTTGAGTCAATAAAACTGATTATTAAACACCAAATCATGTATCAAGGAACCCAGAAGAGATCAATTCACTAGCTTACCTGTATTTGAAGGGCTGCGCTGTAGTCATTGTTGTCCAGAGCTTGACACAACTGTGCGAGTTTGTCCGCAGCATTCTTGGAGATGTCTCCGCTGTTGAGTTTCACAAACAGAGCACCTAATTTTCTCGAGTTGTCTTCTATCTCACGCTTCTTAGTAGGATTTGCACGTGCGCCTCCCAGTGCTTCCGATGTCTCATTAAAAAGCCTTGTCAACGTTGCTATCACAGGTTTCTGGTGGGCTGGATCAGTTTACAACAGGTGATCATTATGACTTTAATCAGAAACAAAACAGACATAAGGCGCTAATGTCACGTCGTACAATACCTGGAACGTTGGAAGTATCTGCAGTCTGAACAGTTGGTGGCGGGGTTGCAGGCGTAGGGGCTGCCTGCGCAGCTGCCTGCTGTGTTGGAGGACTAGCTGGTTGCACAGATCTTGGAGCAACTCCTGGAGTTGCCATGGGCGTAAATCCTATGGGTCCAGCTGGAGCCACAACTTGGGGCATCTTAGGGTTAGGATATTGCCCAGCTTGTGAAGGGCCAGAAGGTGCATATGTACCAGGACCCGGGCGAACAGGGTATGCATTGTTAGATGGTCCCTGATGAAATAGCTGTCAGCTTCGTTTAAACTAAAACTGCGGGTAACATCAAACACACTGGAGGCAAAAGTTCACATACCGTGAATGAATGAGAACTCATGGTTGGCTGCTGATATTGGTCTGCATTCCTCAGTGCAGGGGGAGTTGAAGGAACAAATGTAGTCCTCATGGTTGGCTGAGCATTGCTTGCAGGAGCTGGAGTGAAAGATGGCTGCATATACATACCATAGTCAACAAGTTGGCCCAAGAAATCTGTACATAGCAAACAAAACACTTCCCCACCACAAACTTTTCTCACAACATCTAGAATATAGATTCTACAGAAGAGAACTAAAGTAAAGGTCCACATTATCCTTTTCTCAGGACATGGGTTTAGAGGCTGAAAATGTTCAGTTTTGGGGAGTATTTTTTTAGGTCAAAGAACCAGATACCAATATCCATCTGCTATTCTGACTCAAAAATTCACACGAAAGAAGAGACTATGCATTTGAGCACCACATACATATTCCAGATGTCATCATATCTCAAAAGCTTGACCAATACCCTTACACAAAAACATAACAGAAACAGACACTTTCCTGATCTATACAAGAACTGCCAAATAAGAATGATCATTAATGCATGATGGTGTGTAAGGAAGAATAAGGAAAAGGAAATGCAGCAAAGCCAAAACTTTAGAAACCTGCGGAGCTGGCTGAGCTTGGTGAGGCATAAACATGGTTGGTTGCTGCATGGGTGGATGTGAAGCTTGGGGGACATAATAAGAATCAGTGTATGGTTGCTGATACTGATTATCATATGGGTTAGCAAGAACGTTTGGTTGCGCCTGAGTTGGCTCCTAAGCCACAGAAGAGTAAAAAGGCTAAGTATGTTATCCGTCAAAGCTAAATGGATTTTAAGTTAAATTTAAAACTATTTATACCTGATTATATGGCATGGTGCTTTGAGGCTGAGTGTTTCCTGAAGCTGCAGTGTTAGTCTCTGCATAAAAAACGTTAAGCTAAATTTATCATCAAAACTCTCTTAAACATTAATCAAAAACACAACTGCATACGCACCAGGTTCTGCAGACAGAGAAATACGATCACGTAATATTGAAAGTTCAGGCGACAAGCCACCAGAATCCAGAACTTTCAAGTACTTCATTGCCGTTGTAAGAAGCCCTTGGCTGGCCAGTATCTCAGCATAACTCTCAAAGAGTTTACACAGAGATGCGCTGAACTTTTTGTTGCCAGTTGCCAAAGCAAGGACAAGAGTCTTCTCCATAAGATCCTATTACAAGATAAGGGCAGAAAAATATGAGCAGAGAAGCCCAATACAATTTATGCACAAAACATAGAAAGTGATACACACTTGAAGAAGCTCAGCATAAGATCTTCCATCCCGCTCACTTGCAAGGCTCCTTGACCAAATTTCTACTGTTCTGTCAACATTGCCTGCGCAAATGTAGCAGAGAACTGCAGCCAAAGTGTTACCAGCAGCCATCAACTTCGAGGCAAGGGCATCGCACAGGGTGGTCCATTGTTCTCCTTGTGCAAACTGTTTGTCAATGAATATAAGATCAGCATTCATTACAAAGAAGTTTTATAGTGAGCAGAATAGTGTAGCTGACGAGTTGTTCATCTTGGTTCACGAGTCCATGGAGATAACATATCACATTAATATTGTTAAAAAGAGTTTAAAATGATAGCAGAAAATATTTTCGCTGAGTAAGACATGAAAAAGCAGATCCCATATCCTTTATGATTACTGGAGTGTATCAATAGACAATATCAGTTCATAAATTTCCTTTTTTTTTCTAAGTATTTTTTCCTCAGTTGAGAAACTTACAGTACAGAGGAGAGCAAGAGTCTCTTTCCAGAACTTATGTGACCTTGTATAGATAAGGCTCCTGAGATCATTGTTCACCATGGCAGAAACAACCTAAAATAGATAAACATACAGTAGTTTACAGATTTTGCGACCACAAACAGGGATGTAAATGGCACTTACCTACATATCAAGTTGGGAAAGAATATACATATACCTTCATGTAAGGCGCACTGCTCGTCTTCAAATATTTCTCACGTGTACTCTCCCACAACGCTGTACCACCAACATGAGCAATAACTAAAGCATCGGCCATCTTATTTGCAGATATACACTGATCCACCGCCTCCTTGTAATCTCCAACAATCAAAGCACGCTGGATGGCATTATCAAATACTGGGTCAGAACTTTCTTCCTCTTCTTCTTGCATTTCTTGAGTTTCTTCTCCTTTGGTAGAAAAATCTGTGTCAGAAGGCATAAAATCTTTGGCAGATGTAGACACAGGTGTATCCGGTTTAGCAGGAAAGTTGTTAAAGAAGTCTTCTCCATTATCCATAGCAAATGCAGCTGCCTCGTTACTGTCGTCAGGTTCCATTGCATCCGCCGCAGTATCCTCTAATCTAATGCCACTCAGATCTGATGAGAGCCCATTTACTGCCTGATCCTTTTCCGCAATAGGCAAAGTAAAGCCAAGATGGCTGATCAACTTTGTCCTTGAAGTTCCTTCCTCTTCGAACATGATTTTCAGTAAGCCCCATGTCTCTTTCTCCTCTTCGGATCTGTGTAATCAGTGAATTGAAATGGTCCAAAACTGAGTTATTTGATGAGTTTTTATAAGGGCGAATATGAACATTTTCAATCACAAGGATGGCATACTCAGTCTCTTCCGATTTCTTCTCGCACAAACTCCTTAGAGAAGTCATATCTCCATTTTCTATTGCAGCTTCAAATTCAGAAGTTCGACTCACCAAACTCTGTTCTGTTACCAGGCTGTGCAAAAAAACCTGAACATGACACTTAGTCAAATTAGACTTGACGACAAAACGGATATAACAGGATAAATAAATCTATCTATATACCTACCTCGGATAGAATGCTCGAAGTACCCTTTGCAGGGGCCTTTGCGTGACATGATACAAGCTTTCCCCCAAATCCAAAAGATGCACCAACCGGGCGCTTATACCATTTTGGTGCTCTTAAAGGAGCTGCATACAGAGGAATATAAGAAGTAATGTTGGTTCTTAAGCAATTCATCCTCCAACATAGAAATGATAGAAGTAATCAACGGTACACAAATGGTTCAGAATGGGTAAATGGAATTACCAGTACCAAAATTATTCTCTTCAGCACCATATCGACTGCAACCCTGCACCAAAAGCGTTGAATACATATTTTTTAATCTACTCTAGGAGGGGAAAAGGGAGATCTACAGTTCAACAGGTCTTGCTAATAACGTAAATCTCAACTGGAAAGTGCATAAGATTAAACTCTAAAACATTTGATCTCCAGTGGTACAACAAACTGGGAACCCGAAATCTAAATTATATATAGGAAGGAAAATAGTTGATAGGGCTGGATTGACAGGTTCATTATTTGTTATGCTTCATACATTATTTACATTCATATAGAACAAAACAATTTACAGATACTGAAGGGCAAACTACCAAGATACCTCGATGTTGTAGATGCCAATTTTCCCATCAAATGATGATGCTGATATAACTCCAGGTATCTTTGGGTACCAATGAACATCAAAATTCCAATTGTTGCCAGCAGGTAACTCAGCCACAATCTGTCATGGTTGGATCAAATTCAGTCAAAATGGAAAATAGTTAACTAAATTAGCGGACCCAGCAAATCTGTATCTTTTATCGATTCCTTCCCACTACCTCTGCTGTATTTGTGTCCCAGCAAATCGTTCGGTTGTCCTTAGCACAGGTAAGAAGATATGAGCTGTCACTTGGACACCACTCCATTGCAATCACCCCTGATAGATAAGAAGTATCACCACTACATTTCACCAAGGTGTAACACTAAGAATGAAGACAATAGGACTATAATATAACGACACCGAAATATGACTGGGTTAAAGACTAAGATGGCTGATCTACAAGGCTGTTCCCTTAGCAACCATAGAAAATGGTACCAAGCTAGAGAGAAGAACTGACAAAAGCATTTTGATAGCAATGATTTGAAAATACCTCTTTGGTGTCCAGTAAACTCGCGCACAGGTGACAATATATTCCTCATGTCCCAGAGCTGATTGCAGATACCTTACATCACTAAAAGAACCAAATTTGAACTATATGAAGCCACACATTAAATGATTCCTTACCTTCAAAGTAGGTGAACTGTCGTCATCTGATGCAACCATTATCTGAGTAGTAATGTTAGGGTTCCACTGTAAAACAGAGCACCGGCGTCGAACTGAATCTGCAAAGCTGTTGATTGATAATGGCCAGATAAGGGTTTTGACAACAAGTTTCGAGAGCCTCAATAATATCACTTAATAAATTGTATACTTACTTAATTATAGGCTTCTGCTTCCTCAAGTCCCATATTACTGAGGGAAAAGAAAATAAAGATTGATGAGCATATGCAGAATTATAGTAGACAGAAATGAAGTAGTAATCAAGTAGATAGAGAAAGAGAGAGAAACCCCTAATTCTCACCAGTAGTCCCATTGTATGAGGTAGAAGCTAATATCTGTTGAACTTTTCGATTCCACGATATAAAGGAGATTTCACCTTGCGTAGCAGAACCACTACCCTGCAAAAGACCCTCTCATAAAGTTAAAGATGCTACAGGATTGAAGGAATTGGGTTTATTATATACCAAGCAATTCTGAGAGTAAGGTAATACAAAAACCAAGGTTGTTGACTAGTAAGAAGTGGTGGTATACCTTGAGAAGTGGAAAATGAGAAGGCTCTGAAGGCTTTAATAAGTCCCAAATGCAAATTTCACCATCATCAGCCCCAGAAGCAAGTAGATTTGGGTTGATAGCATTAAACTCAAGACCACGAACCTGCAAAAAAGTAGCACGCACACATGAAAATGAGGAGTAATAAAACAAAACAGCGATAAGCAACAAAATAATGCAGAGAGAGACAACTCACAGGGCCTTTGTGAACTGAAAGATGGCCAACGAGTGCATTTTCACTGGGCTGGGAACTGAAAATGTGACAGAGTTGTTCGAGTTAGACTCGTTCGTTCAGATGAAAATTGGATACCACATACATATATGTGTTGTACGAGTTCTTCTAAGAAGAAGAAAAAAAACAGTGATCACTGGGAAATTAAATTAAAATGGCGATTCAATAGCAGCAAGGCAAAGCAAGGCTTATAATAAGAGAAAAGGAAACGCACCCGATCAAAGAAAGAGGATTCCATAGATCTATATTTCCGTCGACAAGGCCGCCGGCAATAAGACCAAGGGAGAATTCCTCGGATCCAGATCCGTTTCTTCCCCAGGCGAGTCTATGGAAGCGCTCGGAGCTGGGGCTTTCCCCAACGAGAGGCAAATCGCGATCGTCAGACTGAAAGTCGAGCTTAAAGATCTCGAGATTGGCGGAAGAGCTAAAGGAGAGATCGACGGCTCCGGCCATGGTTCCGGCGGCCATGTAAGGAGCGTCGGGAGCCAGGGCAACGGAGGCGGATCTGCCCACCCCCTTGATGCAAGCCATAATGGAATCGGGCGATCGGAGATTAGGGTGTGTGTGTGAAGTTGAATTGTTGTAAATTGGGATCTGATGAAGAAGAAGGAGGAGTTACTTAACCATTATAGATAGATTGATTAGAATGTTTTTTTATTTTATTTCGAGAGGGGTGAAACTGTACTTTCACCTCAAAAGAGTGAGGGTAATCTCGGACACTCCCCTAAGGTTCTGAGAGCCATTCTAAATATGACACGTCAGCTTCTTTTGAGTGAGGCCTAAGACCCATCTAATTTGGGCCCTCTAACAGCTTGCTGGATTACCCAACTTTGAATCGCAACAATTGGGCCCAATAATGTGTTTTCATCATTTTGAAAAACTTAGTAAATAAAATGTGATTACCCTGAATTATTTGCAATGGTCAATGGGATTTGTTAAAAATAATAACTGGGAAGGAATGTGCTGAAACATCGGATCTGGCCAGTGGGGCTCGTACACGAAAGTCCCATGTTCGGCTCATATCATTGTCTTCCATTTTTTTCCGTTCCAAATTATATAAATGTATTACGAAGATACAAAAGATGGAATGATATAGGGGGTGATTGGCATCCGACTGTCAGGACTTTAAAAGCATTTAACAGTCCTTAGAGCATTTTATTATCCAATCAGACTGTTATTTTTTTTTTTCCTTCTACAGCCTTGAAAGTCTGACTTTTTTTTTTTACTCTTGTAACTTCACCTTTTTCTAAAGTCACGTATTAGAGACTTTAAGTGGTTTAAAGCTTTTACTCCAATTATTTTTACTTTTCTTCTTTCCCTATATAATTTGAAAACTCTTTTTAAAATGATTCATATTTTATTATTAAATAATTTCAGTTGATTAATACTAATTTTATTTTTTCTTTTCTTTTGAGATCCAATTTAAATATTTAAAATGGTAAATATTTAAACTGAGAATATTTAAATATTTATTTATTTATGAATTTTTTTTTCTAAAATTTATTTTTATCACTATATTATAACATAAATTTATTTTTAACATAAATAATATTTTAAAACATATATATAATAATAAAAGTAACCGTCACAGTTTCTACAGTTTTTTTTGTTACCAATCAGATTTTAACAGCGAAAGTCTTTACAGCCAAAGTTTCTACAGTCAAAGTTTCTACAGCGAAAGTCTCTACAGTCAAAGCTTCAACAGTCAGAAGTAAAAGTCGTTACCAATCGGCCCCATAGTGTGTGAAAATCAGCATCGACTCACACACCACATGGCATAACATGATCGCTCAGAGACGTTGACATCTTCTCTCCTCGCTCTTTTTTCTTTTCTTTTATTTTCTTCAGATCTTTTAGAATTCCACTTCTACATTTTTTTTTTTTTTTTTCCACTTCTACATTGTTATCAGGGTAATTCATTTTCTTCTTTTAACTTTTCTTCTGAAAAAAGATAACTAATTTTTAAAACCCAATAACCATTGCACCATTTCTACTTATAGAAGTTGCTATCAAGGTTTGTTGTTTCGTTTTTCTCTCCAAAAAGACCAATAATAATCGAAGGCCATATACGTTCGAAGATTGGTCACTGAATATAGTTCACAACCTTTTATTACATGAAACATATATTAATTGACGCCCAAATAAAAACATATAAATTAATCAATAATCTGTTATATAAAAAAATGCAGTACTTAAAAAATGAAAAACAAAAACAATTGTTGTCGAAAAAAAAAAAAAAACAATCATTCGTATGGTTGGAGGTTTTGACCCAAAAAGAAAGAAAGAAAGAAGTTGTTTAAAGATGCAAACCCACACACTTGTTTCTTCATTTAACTGTCTCTTCTTCAAAACCAGAACCTTCTACTTTTCTCCCTCGATCGGCCCTACTATAACTCAGAGACATAAGAGAATGAGGAAAGGGCAGGGCTACTCCTACTCTGTAATCGCATCGGTGTTGGTGTTACTGTGTGTGGTGGTGTCTCGAATCGAATGCAGCAGCCAAGTGCACGCCCTGAGCCGTCTGTACCTGTCGAAGCGAGGGGTTGGTGGTTCGTCCACCATGGACACAAGCCATTTTAAGGCTGTTAAGGATTTGAAACCGTCTTCGCTGGGGAGTGTTGCTAATCAGGAGGAGTTAAGAAAGAGAGATCTGATACGGAGATTGCCCGGACAGCCTCCCGTTAGTTTCGATCAGTACGGCGGCTATGTCACCGTCAACGAATCCGCGGGCCGTTCCTTTTTCTACTATTTCGTGGAAGCCTCCAACTCTAAGTCTAAAGATTCTTCTCCTCTGCTTCTCTGGCTCAACGGCGGTACGTTTCCATCTTCCACACACACATACGTATACGTATATATACTTCATTTATCGTGGTTTGCATCTTTAATTAGTTATGGGTTTATAAAATGTACATGTATCTAAGTAAGAGTAGAAAGATGAACAAGAATGTTAGTTTGATCGATCGAGGCTGTCTTTTTCTCTGTGTTTATTAATCTATCATATGTTATACGATTTTCAGAATTTTAATAGTTGTGAGGACCATACCATATGCCTAAGCCTGCTTCTTCCTTGTATATTTTTAATTATTATTGGCCCGCTCAACAATCGTGGAGTATATTATAAGGAAAAAGGACACAGCCCCAATCGAAAACTGAGAAAAGAAAAAGAAAAATGATTTGCCTTTTTCAAAAATGGCACATGCTGAGGATTTCTCGGCGTGCTTTGTTGCACAGCTCTACTGCTCAATTATTTAGCCAGCCACTACGTCTACGTAATACGTATCTATCTATACTGAATTCTATATTATGTAATGTATATTCAAATTCATCAGAGACATTAATAGTAAGCTCAGCAGTAAATTAGCTCTGTTAACAAAATATCGAGAATTTGATTACAGAAATATGGGTGACTAATACATATATATGCATAAACAGGACCGGGATGCTCGTCACTGGCGTATGGAGCACTACAAGAGCTTGGGCCGTTCCGAGTGCACAGCGACGGCAAGACGCTTTTTCGAAACCGATATGCATGGAACAATGGTACCTAATGTTTTCTTTTTATAAAACAAATCAATAAATGGGAAACGATTCTTGTGGTTATAAAATAATCAAACGAGGTGTGGTGGTGCAGCTGCGAACGTCTTGTTCTTAGAATCGCCGGCAGGAGTGGGGTTCTCGTACACCAACACAACGTCGGACCTGGAGAAGCATGGTGACAGGAATACAGCGGCTGATAACTACATCTTCCTGGTTAAGTGGCTGGAGAGGTTCCCGGAGTACAAAGGCAGGGACTTGTACATCGCCGGTGAGAGCTATGCCGGCCACTATGTTCCACAACTTGCCCACACTATCCTTCTCCATCACCGGAGCTCCCTCAATCTCAAGGGCATTCTGATAGGAAATGCGGTGATCAACGACGAGACCGACTTGATGGGTATGTACGACTTTTTCGAGAGTCATGCTTTGATCTCCGAAGATTCTTTGGCTAGACTAAAGAACAACTGCGATCTCAAGACGGAGTCTGCGAGTGTAATGACTGAGGAGTGCGCAGTGGTGTCCGACCAAATAGACATGGACACATATTACCTCGACATCTACAACATATACGCTCCCTTGTGCCTCAACTCCACGCTCACTCACAGGCCCAAGCGAGGAACCACAGTAAGGGAGTTTGATCCCTGCAGTGACCATTACGTGCAGGCCTACCTGAACAGACCTGAAGTCCAAGCGGCCCTGCACGCAAACGCTACGAAGCTGCCTTACGAGTGGCAGCCATGCAGCAGTGTGATAAAGAAGTGGAACGACAGTCCTACCACAGTGATTCCTCTCATCAAGGAGCTGATGGGTCAGGGCGTCCGCGTCTGGGTGTTCAGCGGAGACACAGACGGGAGAATTCCAGTGACGTCCACCAAATACTCCCTCAAGAAGATGAATCTAACGGCCAAAACGGCTTGGCATCCATGGTACCTAGGGGGGGAGGTGGGTGGATACACAGAGGAGTACAAAGGGAAGTTGACATTTGCTACCGTGAGAGGGGCAGGCCATCAAGTTCCCAGCTTCCAGCCAAAACGCTCTCTTTCACTCTTCATTCACTTCCTCAATGACACTCCTCTCCCTGACACCTCTCGTTACTAAATATTCTATCTGAGATTGTAATTTCTCTCTTATTTAGCTTTTATTCCTCCTCCCATCCATTCTTTATCTACTATTTCATTACATAACTTTGAATGTTAATATCTGTTTTGCTCTCACGACCTAAAAAGAGCAACTTATCTCTTTACCATCTACTTGTCCACATCTTCTACATTACCAAGATAGTATATTCATATTATCATCTTTAGGACGCAAAGAACGATGCATACCAAGAACTGATGAACCTTGACATCTTTCCAACCGGACCAGGTTCGTGATTGCACAATGCTTGTACCTGAATGCCCATGTTTTCTGCTTCTAACTGCAAAGAGGAAACAACAGGACAGCTTGCATCATTGACCATGCCCACCCTCACTCACTAATTATACATACACTATTGTGTAAATGAACCCCTTCAAACACGCTAGTTTACCTTTTTGACTTTCAGTTGGAGTTCATCAACAGCCTGCTGTAAGGATTGTATAGTTTTTGATACAATATCTTCGTATGCGGTTTCCACTTCTTCCATAGAATCTAGGCTGAAAATGATCCCTTCCTGTATAAACACTTCTTCTAGCATCTTGATGTCTTCGTTGCTCATCCTCTCTTTCATCTGTATACAATAACAATAATGCATATCTATCTTCTAGATCCCATTTTCTGAATATTAGAGAGAATGAGAAAATGGCTGTCGTAGAGTCTTAACCTTCTCTAGGATCCTCCCACATTTTTCATCTTTGGTTATCAAGGAGGGTTCCTCCTGTGCCTGCGCAGATTTCACTTCACTGGCACGTGGTGATGCTTTTATGTGTTTTGCCCTGTACAGTAATTGGAAGCAAACATCTGTCTTAAACACGTTCAGTAATGTAACACATGGAACATGAAAACGTTACTGTGACACTGAGATGCATACCTCATGCCAAACCTGAGGGTTGAGAGCGTCTCAGATGCATTTAAAGTGCTTGGTGAGCAACAGCAAAGCAGTGCCATTCGAGAATTCCCACCCTGTGGCATGAAGACCACGATAGAATTGAGAACAAGCTGGAAAATTATAAAATAAAATCAACCTAAGAAGATATACTAACCAGGGCATCCTGTAAGATGCGAGTAAGCTTGGAGTCACGATATGGTATGTGATTCGCTTTGCTAGATGACCCACTTGTGAGAGCGTTTATCACGTTCCCCAAGGCTGAGAGCGATTTATTGATCGTCTTCGCTTCTTCAAGAACCCTACCTTCTGCTCCAGTTTTGTCTGCTTTCTCTGAGCCAGCCAGGTCGACAAGAATCAGTTTTCCTGTTTTTACCCTGTTCACATGCCACATATATATAAGCTCCACCATAACAGCATCAGTTTTTTATGATTAATTGTGAAAAAGCTTTACCTCTTATCTTTAACTGAATCCTGCTGGATTGTGAACAAGTAGGCGCAGTGGCTTCTACTGCTGGACATATTCATTTCTGTCATTCATTGTTAAACTGGAAACATTCTTCAAGATGACTCTCAATCAGTTTTAACTTTTCAGTCAACTCGGAGTAGCATATGCTTAATCTCAGTATCCATTAAATGGGGAAACACTGAACAAGTAAGTGCTGATAAGCTAAGAGGATACGGGTTTCTCCAACTGCGCGGTTTGCTAAACCGGTCTGAAATGGCAATTGGCATCAGAAATAAGAAATACGAAGGCAGTATAAGGAAATTAAGAAACTCAGGGTAGCTGCTATCTTACGCATAGATGTTGTAATGCCTCCGCCGAATCTGATACAGGCACCTGAAGCAACGAATAATTAAAACTTGCCTAGCCAGTAAAGATTTTTCTCAACAGTAACAGAAGACATAAGGCAATGAAGCTAGCCTCTGTAACGCCTGACAAGAGAATTCCTTGTGTTTTGTTCTCCTTGATCTGTATGTTTGCTTTTGATAAGTCTAATAGGTCCCTGAGAGAATTGGAGATATATTTAGCTGTCGATAAGCTAAACCCTAGAAGAAATCAGAGAGAATTATAGGCATACACATTACCTGACTTTCTCCATGTAGATCTCAACCTACAGGAGACAAAAGGCACATAAGATATTATAAATAGAGGAGAGCTTGTAAAGAGAGTTATAGCAAGTGCATTAAGATCAGTACCATAGACAATTGAACAGTGTATCTTGCAAAATCATTGGAAGAGCTGATTTGCTCAAACATCCCATGGACCACTCTTGGAAGTAGTCCTTTATTGTGGTCATCACAGTCGTGGATGCCTGGTCCCTAAATGAATAGAAGAAAACCAAAATTAGTCAGAAGGAGGAATGGTCCTTGTGCTACAGGAAGAGGTAGGTGACCTCCATGGAATATGTCTTCCCAGCCCCTGTCTGCATGGTATAATAACATGAAACGATCAAATTGAGATCAAAATGAGCCAGCTTAAAAAAGACATTGAAGGCATTTCCAGAGAGGGAAAGAGATCACGAGAACAAACCTGTCCATAAGTGATAATTGTTCCGTTGATACCATTTACAGCGTCTGAAAGTAGTCGTACACAAAGGTAAGATGCAAAAGACAAAGGTAGGAAAACAAAATCGAAATGTTGATTACATTGTAAAATCATCAGATCGGTGTTCAAATGTTTAGATCTAAAATCGAAAAACTCATGAACAGAATGAATTAGTACCTCTCATGATGGGGAGAGCCAGAAAGTCATAAAGCGCAGCTTGGGTAGAGTCCTCATAAAAAACTCTATCAAGGCTAAATGTAAATTCATCTTCCTTGTCATCCTACACGCAAGTAATACATGAATTTGAGAGAGAGAGAGAGAGAGAGACAATAATCAATAAGCACATGGCGTCGAGTAGAGAAACTTGGAAAACGAAGGTTTCAGCGTCGATGGGTCGAGCACAAACACCATCTCTGCTGGGATCGCGCATCTCTTTAGAGCTTCGTGGCCTGAATCGCGCACAGACGGTTACGTTAGACATCGCTCCTCAGTCTACAGTGAAACACCCAAAATCAGTCAGCAGAAGGTCGCGAAGATATGGATGAAATTGGGGAAATTTGAAACTGAGAGAGAAATTTTTTAAAAAGAAAGGAATCGGAACTTACCTCTCAAATCATATGGAGTGGAGACTGGAGAGTAGTAGGGTTTCTTCTTACGGGCGGGAAAGAAACTCGAAATCTGATTTTTGGGAAAAGAGGAGGAAGAAGGAGTAGTAGAGTGCGTGTGAGTTGTTATAAGATCGAATGGTCCAGAACAAGACACGTGTCATTAGGAACACGGTAGCGAAAGTGCACCCTCACGCAGGGAATAATAGCTCAGAAAGATAGAGAAAGAAGGGGGTCTTGTTATCCCCTTGGGCGTGAAGTGGATTAGGGAGACTCAACACTCTTCTTCTTCTTCTTCTTGTACCAACAATGGCTGCCTGCGCCACTCACTCCTCTCTCATGCTAGCGTACGCCGCTCGTTCCCAGGACCTTACCCCCCCTACTCCATCTCTTTTCTCTTTTGCCAGCTCCAGACCCAACCACTTGAGCGTCCCGCTTCTTCTCCTTGGGGGTTCCAGGGACCGCAGATGTGCTGCTATTGACAGAGCTTCCAACCGAGCTTTCCAGGTTATTGTCTCCGCCGTGGCCGCTGAGGCTGACCTCGACACGGAGGAACAGGACCTGGAGCAGACCGCCACCGCCGTCCTTGATCCGCCCAAGCCTAAGAAGGGAAAAGCCGCTTTGGTTCTCAAGAGAGACAGAGTATATATGCTTTTGCTTTCTATCTTTACCTACTTGTATGTTCAATTTGATGTTTCTGTTGTTTTACTCATCAGTCATCCATATCCATTGACAGACAAGGTCTAAGAGGTTTTTGGAAATCCAAAAGCTAAGGGAAACCAAAAAGGAGTATGATGTCATCACTGCTATATCTTTGCTTAAACAAACTGCCAACACCAGGTTTGTTGAGTCTGTTGAAGCCCATTTCCGTCTCAACATCGATCCAAAGTACAATGACCAGCAGCTGCGTGCTACGGTCAGCTGCTTTCTCTTTGCTGGATATACACTCTAACTTGTGCTGCTTCATTCCACAACATTTATTCTCAATGCATTGTCTTTTTTTATAGGTGAGCCTGCCTAAGGGAACTGGCCAGACTGTTATAGTCGCTGTTCTTGCACAAGGTAAATTGCCCCACCAAATTTTATATATGTTTAAATTCACTGTTTAGACTTAGGACACAGATTATGCTTACCATTTCACTCAGTCAGTGCTTCTCTAGATACATTGTTTGGTGCGATTTTGATTGGATGGAGTTCTTGTGGTTTATATTCTTCTCACCTAAATCTTGGCTTGCACCATTTCCATGCTGAACATCCAGGTGAGAAGGTCGATGAAGCCAAAAATGCAGGGGCAGATATTGTGGGCAGTGATGATTTAATCGAACAGATTAAAGGAGGCTTCATGGAGTTTGATAAGTTGATTGCATCCCCGGATATGATGGTCAAGGTGTGTGTTTGATGGTATAATGCTCTAACATATGAAAACGTCATGCTTGGCAAATTATGTGACATGAGATACTTGTAACTCCTCATCTATTTCTAACATTCTTTAACTTGGCGCTTAGGTTGCTGGCCTGGGAAAGATTCTTGGCCCACGCGGACTCATGCCAAATCCCAAGGCTGGTACGGTCACAGCTAACATTCCCCAGGTAAGCCTACTCTGCAACATCTTTTCCTCATTCTGGTAATCATGCCTTAAAGATGCATACATCTCTCAGGCTATTGAAGAGTTCAAGAAGGGGAAAGTTGAATTCAGAGCAGACAAAACTGGGATTGTTCACATTCCCTTTGGGAAAGTTAATTTTACAGAAGAAGACCTTCTCATAAACTTCCTTGCAGCAGTGGTAGGCTGATTCTCCATTCTTATTACGTATATCTGTGGGTTTAAAATACAAAAATAATGAAGAAGGGTAAATGATGAAATGCAGAAATCGGTGGAGACAAACAAGCCAAAGGGAGCAAAAGGAGTGTACTGGAAAAGCGCACACATATGCTCATCAATGGGGCCTTCCATCAAGTTGAACATAAGGGAGATGATTGACTTCAAGCCTCCCACTGCGAACTAACCAGCAACCGCATTTGTAAATGGGGTCCTTTTGGGAGACAGGCAATGCGAGTGTAGACAGAGAGGAGAAACACCAAGTCTAGTCTGTTAGTTATATATTCACTTCTCACTAGTTTGTATCACTATGATGGCCATTTGCTTCTTGTCGTTATTGATTTACGATTGCCTATTTAAAAAGTGGCAAGGGGCTGTACATGTCAGGACGCAAAACTCTTTAATACTCTCTAAAAGAAGACCTTACATTTATCTTTAGGTTACATACGAGGAGGTTTGTGTGTACATTACATATGATTTACTACTACAAATATTACAAGGCCAGACTCTGCTTCGTCACTTCCATTTTGGTGAGAAGCCCTCTCATCTCTTCCTCCATTCTCATCTTCATTTCATAAAACTCTCTCTGCCCTCTCTCCATTGCCTCCAACTCCTCGTACCTCCTCCTCCTTCTCTCCTCTGCCTCCTCCATACTCAACTTCCCCATTCTCCGCTTGTACTCTTCCTCTATCTTCTCCTTCTTCGCTATTGCTATTCGTTTCAGCCCCTCTGCTTCTCTTCGTGCATCATCTGCCCGTCCTTGGAACATCTCTGCCTCTGCTTGCTTCATTCTCACAATGCTCTCTAGCTCTTCGAAACGAGGTTCCTTTGGTGATTCCCTTTTCAACTCCATCTCCACTCCACATATTTCAACTTGTCTCTCTCTGTGGAACGCATCAACTACGCTCGCTGACCTTTTCAGCTGATGGTGCGGTTTATCTGAGCACACCGATCTCAGCCACGCTGTGTCCTGACTAGGGCTTCCCCTCTCATGCCTGGGTTTTGGCTGTTCGTATCTGAACGGTGCACAAGTTTCAGCAGGAGTGGACGAATCACAGTCTGCAGTCAACAAGCAAAGTATCGACTGATGATGATCAGCAATGAGTAATGACCATTTTTACAAGGAATATCTATGGCACAGATATCACAAGAATTTAACCAATATGTGTTCACATGCACACCGTGTGATCATCTATACTAACACAGATTAATAATGCCATATTTAATACCCAGATAAAAGCTCACAATTTAAACAATTTCGCGCACCTGAAACGAAACCCAATATGCGATTGCAAGCTTCAGGAAGGCCTATCAATTTACTTTTCAAACTTGCCAGCATCGTATCAGCAGCTTGTCTCAGCTGTTTCCCTCGAGAGTCTTTGCTTGATGAAAATATCTTATTGACATACTCCAGTTCCTTGCAAAAGCGCTCAAATTTCCATTCCCTGGCAAAATTCAGAAACACTTCTTTGACAAAGCCAAACATCTCTGAGGGATGGTTACAGGCAACACAGTGGAATTGCATCTCCGTCATCCCTGGAGCACCAGAAGCATTGATCCCATTCCGGATGTAAGACTCTCTTATCCCACAATCTGTATGGCACCAGTGTAGGCACACATCACACCCAACCCAGCTACAGGTGTTGGATGCCATATCAAAATTTGAGCACACAAGACACATGCAAGCACTACAAAATCCATCCTTCCTTGAACAAACCCTGCAATCACATTCATCCACAGGTAACAGAACCCTACAAGAAAGATTTTTGCATCTCATGTTCATGTAAATCTCAGCTAAATGGGAAGACGAGATGCTGTTGTCCATCAGAAGGAAATCAGAACGCCCAGCTTTCAGTGCGACCAAGATCTCCAACTGAGCGCGATGAGATTTTGTAAGCAATTCCAGTGTTATATCAGTCCTGTTCTGCAGAGCATCCTGAAAAGCACCAAGTTGTACATTCTTATCCATGTTCAGCATCATCTGCCGGATGTTTTCCTTCAGGCTAGTTATGTATCGAGTGGGCATTTCATGAAATCTCTTGGTCATTACAGGCATCGAATCGGAGAGAATGTATCTGATGACCGTCTCAACAAAATCATGCCCACCAGCTTCCAGCCCAGTTATCCAGGAATTACTACCACTAAAAAAGTCCTTGGCTTTTTTCTTCTCAACAGTAAACTTTGAACCATTTTCAAGAGAGCCCGTTCTTGGACATGCTGATCTAACATCAACACTTTTCTGGAAACTCAATTGTTTCTCAAGTATATTTGCTGCCTTAGAGCTCCCATCGGGCAATCTAAGATGCTCTTCATCAGCTTGACCTGAAATTAAATTGCCTTTCATTGCTCGAGGTTGAACTGAACCATTTCCATTTTCCATTAGTCTTTGATAGACTGTATTCTCGTTGTACTTTGAATCATTATGAGACAGTGCCTGCCAATCTATACCCTGAAATATAGGTCGGCTATGAACTGACTGCTCATTGTCTCCAATATTGTGATTCAACGAACAGCTTGGATTATGATTAAACGAACGGGAACCTGAAAAGGACATAGACATGGTGAAGCCATCAGAATTGGTACAAAACGTGTCTGTCAAAGACCGAACACTTCCAGAACGGACTGGTGACCCGAGAGGCTGATTAGTATCCTGGCCACCAATCGGCAACAATACATCTGGTAGGCTAAGTGACAGATCCAGTGGCTCCAACAACAACTTCTCATCCTTGGGCTTATTGACACCTGACTGCTCCGTTTTCGTTGTTCTCCTAACCGGAGAACTAGAGAACAGTTCAAACCCCCTGATACTCGGTCCTCCGAAGTTGTCATCTTTTTCATCTTTATCCTTGTCAGTAAGATCCTCAGACTTGCTTTCAGAAAAGAGGGCATTTCCTAGTAAATGAGTAAGTGGGACATCAGAATTTTTGCCTTTATCCTCGCATTTGTGGGTGGAGCTATCGGATACACTGCTTATGTATTGTGCAGGCGTTCTATTACCTAGAGCATTTTCCTGAACACATTCCGGGCCTTCATCGTCCACTTTGTTGGCATCACCATCATTACCCTTCACTCCCTTAAGCTCTTCTACCTGAAACCGTTCAGGAACATCTGGATAAAGAGTTTCTTCCAACTTCACTCCATGATGGTTCTCCTTATATTCCCCATCTTTGTCACCTTTATCATCAACCGTATCTGTAATCTCATTGACACTAGCAGTGGTTGTGTCATCTCTACGCTCGTGTTCAATAGCCAAAGCTGTAGAAGTATCGTTCACGTTGTTTTGAGAAACATGCATGGACTCAGTTGCAAGCTCAGGCACATTTTCCGCGTCTGCAACACTTTTCTTATCCGTCATGCTCCCAGCCGTTTCCATTTCACTATCACCACCCACATGACTGAGTTCCCTGTTACTCTCAGTGTTGGTATCAAGTTGAGCGTTTTTTCCAATCTCCTGGAAGCTACTATCAATCCTTGCGTTCTTATGCTCATCAGCAGCGCAGGGAGGTAGTTTACTGTCATGTTTGATTTGATGAGCAAGCCCTGAGGCAGTCTCCGGTTGGGGCTCTGGCTCCAGCTCTCCTTCCTCCATCTCGCTACTGCTTGTACTGCTCTTACCCTGCACTTCCTCCTCGGTTTTCTTGACAACATTTCCAACACTTTTGGATTGCTCACTCCCGGAATCTTTGGACCATGTTGGAGAAGCTAGAGATTTGGATCTGGAGCGGGAATTTCTGGAATCGAGAGGTTTGAATTTGGAAAGGTCGTTAGCCGAGTCTCTGGACCAAGAAGGGGATTTGAGAGTCCTTTCCCTTTCAGCGTCCCTTAATCTCCTATCTTTCAGGTCTTCAACGCCAAAGTCATTACCAGGACCACCAAACCTCCTCCAGGAAGAGACACTAGCTTCCCTGTTGGGCCTCTCCCTCTCAGAACGAAATCCCTTTGGAAAAGCCCTCCTTGGGAAACAAGCGCTCTCAGATCGATGGTACCGGGCATCCGGCCGATGATTATCGAAGTCACGATTGGATCGCCTACGGGAAAAAGCCCTGGAGAAGCCGGCAGCATCTTCCCCGCGGTCACGGTTGTTGTTGCCCGAGAAGGACTTGTGGAAGAAGCCCCGGTGGGAGGAAGAGGCCGGGCGGTCCGAGTTGGGAGGTTCTCCGTCAACATTCTTATCTTTAGAAAAATCAAGGTCGTCGCTGGATCTTAGTCTCTTCATCCTTTTTAGTTGCTGAAAATTCGTAAGAAAGCTAGGGTTTTTGAGGATCGGAAATCGGAGAAAGGAAACAAAAAATAAGAAAGAAGAGAGTACCTGGAGATTGGGGCAAGATTCATGTCGGAAGAACCCTAACTTGCAGATTCAGCTGCCTTTTTTTTTTGTTTTAATACCAAGGAAGGAATCACGCAACGAGGAAGGAGGAGGAGGAGGAAGACGAAAAGGAATATCACAAGTCAAACTGAGTGGGAAAAGTACCATTTCCCTTTGCCCTCCCTTTACTCAGTTATTTACATCATCTGCCATCTTCCAAAGACCAGAGAACGTGGGTGTTTACGTCATTTTCGTTGCTGTCTAATCTTTGACTCTTATCGCGTGTCGTCGTATCCTCTCCACTAGCTGCTGGGCTCTATAAGTGGGCCTTTCCTACTCCAACATAACTATATAATAAGTAAAGTAAGGCCCATCACAACCACTTCGTACTTTCAGAAAAGTAGTATTTAACATTATTAATGGTTTGCTAGTTCCAACCAACTGTTTCATTATCTTCTCCAATCCTCCTAATGTGGTGCCTACCATCTGTTCGACCAAATGTCTCTGAGATGTTCTTCAAGTCCCCAATGCTCAAACCCACTGCTAGATTCTCCACCACTTCTTCTCCCTATCTTCCTCCTTCCTTCAGGTTTTGTTCTCTCTTTCAGACTCAGCTTTAATTCCCACTAATTCTTTTTGATTCCGGTCCTCACTAGATTTTTGCTCTCCAGCGTCGCCCCGATGATGGAGTGGACAGATAATCATTACCGGACGCTTGCTCGTATCATAACAAAGCATGCTTGGCTTTACACCGAAATGATTGCCGCTGAAACTCTTGTTCACCAGCAGGCCAATTTGGTAGACTGTTTTTTTTATATAAAAAAAATGTTCTTAAATTTGTATCTTTGAATCTCGCTAGACATTTCCCTTCTTCTGCACTTTGCCTCAGGACAGGTTCTTAGCATTTTCTCCCCAACAACATCCTATTGTTCTCCAACTCGGTGGTAGCAATGTGGAAAACCTTGCAAAGGCTGCTAAGCTTTCTGATGCTTACGGATACGACGAAATTAATCTCAAGTTTGTACAGTTTCTTTTTCACCTACACCGCCTTGGGTGGACTTTCAAACTTAACTGGGTTTGTTTTGTTGACATAGCTGCGGGTGCCCCAGTCCTAAGGTAGCCGGCCATGGTTGCTTTGGTGTTAGCCTCATGCTCAAACCCAAGGTCCGTTACTTTACTCCTCCTCATGATTTCAAGAAATATATTCTCTTTATTAATTTCACACTTTCTTTTAAGCTTGTTGGAGAGGCAATGTCTGCCATTGCTGCCAATACCAACGTCCCTGTTACTGTGAAATGTCGAATTGGTGTAGACGATCATGATTCGTATGATGAGCTCTGTGAGTTTTTTTTTTTTGGTTTCAAGGGCCTTCTGTTTTCTAAGTCTCGTATGGATTTGGCACTACGTGCTAATACTGCTTTTCCTTTACACTTAGGTGACTTTATCTACAAGGTTTCTACTCTATCACCTACCAGGCATTTCATTGTACATTCACGCAAGGCACTTCTCGGTGGGATAAGCCCTGCTGATAACCGGAGAATTCCTCCTCTAAAGTATGTTTACCTTAACTTGCCTCTTGATTACCTGCAATTGTGTATGATCTATTTGTTTTTTTAAGGTCACCTGTTTGTGGGCATAGTTCAGGTATGAGTATTTCTATGCCCTCGTGCGTGACTTCCCGGATTTGAGATTCACTATTAATGGAGGCATTACTTCTGTTTCGAAGGTGACCCATCTTGGATATGAGAGACTAGCTTTCTTTCTGCACGACCAGGGTAAGACTGAGAAAATTTCTGTGATTGTAAGGTAAACGCTGCACTGAAGGAAGGAGCTCATGGAGTCATGGTAGGACGTGCTGCATACAACAAGTATGTGAAATTTAGCTCGATTGGTCTGAGCTCTATATCAGAGCCCTTTTATTGATGCGCTGTCTATCCTTGACAGCCCATGGCAGACGCTAGGACATGTTGACACTGCAGTTTATGGTGTACCAAGCAGTGGCCTTACACGCCGACAGGTTCCGTGGAAATATTCAGCTTTTGAGTTGCTTTGTCTGTCAAACTTATCAATAAGCTAAGTAAAAAATTCCAAAATCTGTGTTGTTGGGCAGGTTCTTGAGCAATATCAAGTATATGGAGACTCTGTGTTAGGAACACATGGAAACGGGAGGCCTAATGTGAGGGATTTAGTGAAGGTAGGTGTGGTTTAAACAAGAAAGCGGTAGGTGTTGAGAAGAAAAGTAATATACAAGTCTTGTGTGTGAACTGAAGATGTTTCAATTGATTGCAGCCTCTGCTAAACCTTTTCCATTCAGAAAATGGAAATAGCTTGTGGAAGCGGAGAGCAGACGCAGCTTTCAAGGAGTGCAGGGTGTGTGATATTCGTAGTAACATGTTATAAAGTTTGTAACTGGTGTTGAGTGTTGAATTATGCATTGCAGAGTGTGGGATCGTTGCTGGAAGAAAGCTTGAGGGCGATCCCGGACTGTGTCTTAGATTCACCCATATCTGGGAGTCCAGAGAGTGGAGAAGAAGATGTGTTTGCAGATGTGCACAATGTATTGCCCCCACCCTACGAAGCAGCTGGAGAAGGAATCATCATATGTGCTTAGTTGTTGTTTGTGTAATCTGTGTGTTGGTGATTCTTTTATATTGTCTGTGTCCATTAAAAAATTGATTTAATTGTAAATTGAACGCGGCTTTTCATTAGGTTTGTGTTTGTTTATTTGGTCCTGGGCTCGTAGATGGGCTTATCTGTTCGTTTTGTTTTGGGCCGGAAATCATTATATAATTCTGGGCCCGTTGCGACGTGGCAGCGTTTCCGCCAAGGACGCGGGGTCATATTATCCATCGTCCATCTTCTTCTCTGAAATCCACTCCTCCTTGCAGCAAAACAAACAATCATGGCGGAGAAGCTCAGTGATGGCAGCAGCGTCGTCTCAGTCAATCCTAAACCCTCCAAGGGTTTCTCCTCTAAGCTTGTTGATCTTCTGGAGAGACTTGTTGTCAAGCTCATGCACGATGCTTCTCTCCCTCTCCACTACCTCTCCGGCAACTTCGCTCCCATCCGTGAAGAAACTCCTCCCGTCAAGGATCTCCCCGTCCATGGATTTCTTCCCGTGAACTTCTCTCATTTACTCTTTGATCCTTTCCCCGAGGGTGTTCTGATTATGATCGTCTCCTTTTTGTCTCCCAGGAATGCTTGAATGGTGAATTTGTGAGGGTTGGTCCAAATCCCAAGTTTGATGCTGTCGCTGGATATCACTGGCACGTTCTCTTCTTCTTCTTCTTCCACTTTACAATATTCAATTATTCATCATGGTGGCTTCCTACTTATATTCCCTCTGCTCTCTTTTCTTCAGGTTTGATGGAGATGGGTACGTGAATCGTTTCATCTTCTTGTCTCCCTTCATATCTCCTGTAGACGGACGGAGAAACCGATTTATGTTTCATCTTGAAAATTGATAAGGCTTCCTCTTTATTGCTCAACTTCCTTCATGTCTCATAACTTTGCAGGATGATACATGGGGTGCGCATCAAAGATGGGAAAGCTACTTATGTTTCTCGATTTGTTAAGACATCACGTCTTAAGCAGGAAGAGTTTTTCGGAGCTGCCAAATTCATGAAGGTGCGCTATTATATTAAAGAGTGTGTTCATCTTCTGCTTTCTGGAATTGTGGGGGAAATCATTTGTACTGATTTTGCAGATTGGGGACCTTAAAGGGTTTTTCGGATTGCTTATGGTCAATGTGCAACTGCTGAGAACGAAACTCAAAATATTGGACAACACTTATGGAAATGGAACTGGTTTACTACTTCATCTACTTTTGTATTCATCCTTTCTACTTTCTCTACTAGTATCTTATAACTCTTTTTCCATGCACCAGCTAATACAGCACTCATATATCACCATGGAAAACTTCTAGCATTACAGGAGGCAGATAAGCCGTGTAAGCCTCCTATATGACCTCTTCGTTTTTCTTTTGGGGTACATTGGTCCAAAGTGAGCAAATATGTGAACCTTATCTATCTAGAAACCGAAGCTTCTGTTATGTTGGCAGTCTTTCTCTTCACCCACTTCCTTGTTTCAAATTTTGATTTATAAGATATGCAAGGTAGGAAGATTTATGTTTCGTTTCTTAAAAGTCAAAGCCACTCTCTTTTGGTCTGTAGATGTCATCAAAGTTTTGGAAGATGGAGACCTGCAAACTCTTGGCATGATAGATTATGACAAGAGATTGACCCACTCCTTCACTGCTCACCCTAAAGTTGACCCGGTTACGGGTATGTCTTCACTTTTCCCTGGAAAAACAAGTTACTATTTCTGTTGACGTGATAAACTGTCATGGGCTCTCTCTGTAGGTGAAATGTTTACATTCGGCTATTCACATACGCCACCTTATCTCACATACAGAGTGATCTCGAAAGATGGCATTATGCATGACCCAGTCCCAATTACTATATCAGAGCCTATCATGATGCATGATTTTGCTATTACTGAGACTTATGCAATCTTCATGGATCTTCCTATGCACTTCAGGCCAAAGGTATGTTACTCATCAAGTTTAATGGTTACACAAGAGTTTCTTGCCTCCCATATACTTTTCTTGAAATGGTGTAAAAGTATACAGAAAATAAGGTTGCGTGTTTTGAATTTCCTTCGAGAATCATAGAAATTGCCTCCCCTATACATTCACGTTTTTTTGTAATTGATCCCAAGGAAATGGTGAAAGAGAAGAAAATGATATACTCATTTGATCCCACAAAAAAGGCTCGTTTCGGTGTTCTTCCACGCTATGCCAAGAATGAACTCATGATTAGATGGTTTGAGCTTCCCAACTGCTTTATTTTCCACAATGGTGTGTGCTTTTTAATGTCTGTTTAAATTTTCATATCATCAAATTTTATATTTTATATATACCAATCAAACATCTGTGAATGACGTCATATATTCAGCCAATGCTTGGGAAGAAGAGGATGAAGTCGTCCTCATCACTTGTCGTCTTGAGAATCCAGATCTTGACATGGTCAGTGGGAAAGTGAAAGAAAAACTCGAAAATTTTGGCAACGAACTGTAAGAATCCCTGACCTGTTACATCTGTCCTGCTCTCTCATAACCGTAAACCCTTCTCAACTATTGCTTGTGCAGGTACGAAATGAGATTCAACATGAAAACGGGCTCAGCTTCTCAAAAAAAACTATCGGCATCTGCGGTTGATTTCCCCAGAATCAACGAGGGCTACACCGGAAAGTAAGAGTTCACCCTTGTCCTTTGTGTTGATATGCATTGTGTCTCCAACAAGGAAACCTCATCATGCCCAACGTTTTTTTTTTGTTTGTTTGGTGCGTTTAGGAAACAGAGATATGTATATGGAACAATTCTGGACAGTATCGCAAAGGTTACCGGAATTATCAAGTTTGATCTGCATGCAGAAGCTGAGACAGGGAAAAGAATGCTGGAAGTAGGAGGCAATATCAAAGGAATATATGACCTGGGACAAGGCAGATATGGTTCAGAGGCTATTTATGTCCCGCGTGAGGCAGCAGAAGAAGACGACGGTTACTTGATATTCTTTGTTCATGATGAAAACACAGGGTAAGCTCTCCTGTTAGTTCCTTATTAGTCATCACTTGTAGCTTTTGTTTCCTTCTGGTAAAATAATATGATGGTTGAAAATGGACAGGAAATCATGCGTGCATGTGATAGACGCAAAAACAATGTCAGCTGAACCTGTGGCAGTGGTGGAGCTGCCGCACAGGGTCCCATATGGCTTCCATGCCTTGTTTGTTACAGAGGTACGAAACTCTACATCCATATATTTCTTCTTCATAAGCGATGCATCTCTAACCACCAGTGGGTCTGGTATTTACAGGAACAACTCCAGGAACAAACTCTTATATAAGCCAAGCTGTGTGCATACACATGATACTTCAGAGTCAGAGATGTGGAAGTAAGGGCAAAACCGGGAAACTGTGTTATACTGATATTTACTATTACACAGATAGTATGGCATTATGTATTCATTCTACTGCCTCGTTTCTCTTTACATATAATTACATTTCATCCTCCAATATCAACAAGGTTTCTACTATCCTTGGCCCTTTGTTCTTTACAATCTCTAGATGAATTGCAGCATCATCCACTCTTCATGTTTAATTAAATGAGTAGGATCTATCTTCTTAATACGTCGAGAAGGATCAAATGAGTAGAAGTAGAGGAGGGGTGGGTAGAAACTTAAAAGATGGACATGTGCACCATCACCATATATGGATTCAGCTTTTAATTGTCTTAGCATTTGGTATACAATACGAGTGAAGGTTAAACTTAAAGCTCACACAACCGAAAATGGAACTAGAAGAAAAATTACATGTACAGAGAAGGACTGAACATGAGAGAGTAAAGTGTGGACATCTTTTTTTAGACTATTTTTTGGGTTTTCACTACACTAAAACAATTACTTGATGAGCCTCATTATAAAAAGCCAAAAAGAAAAAAGAGAGGAGGAGCCCCTTCTGCCGATCAATGGATGCTGGGCTCTCCAAAGACCTCGCTGTTGCACACTGGGCAAACCTGTGTTCCATATGCATAGAGAGAGTTTCAGTTGAACTGAGGATGTAAAACCATATCTGTAAGGTCAAATAACAAATACCTTGTTGATGCTTAGCCATTTGGAAATGCATTCAGAATGATACACATGCTTGCACGGCAGATTCATTTGCCTCTCCCCTATCTTGTACTTGAGCTGGCATATCACACACCTGCTCATCCACACGCACACTTATCACTTGATCAGTATAAACCTGTGACCAACATTATTATAAGCTTTCTCTTTACCTTTCCCCAGCTCTTTTCCTGGAGAAGATGCTCCCAAACTTATACTTTCTAGTGGGAAGCGTTTCTATGAGTTCCTGAGACAACCCCCGGCTTTCTGTTCCTACTGCTTCCCCCAGCTCTACTAATTCCTGATCCACAAACCAAACAACTTATATGTTGTCCCGCATCTAGATGTGAATCCACTGCCTCTCTTGACCATCTTCGTCAGTTTTTACTTATTTGTAAAAAAAAAAAAGGAACCCCCACAAGGAAACTGAAACGAACCTCATAGGTCATTGAATCAGGATCAATATCATCTTGCCAGGATACCTGTGGCAACATGGCATTAACGAGCATATAGAATTCATATCAGTGTTTAGATCACATCCTGCACGGATACACCCACTAGCTTCACAAAGATGGGCAAGAGTTAACTAGTTGACACAGATTTAAAAACCGTTTAGATCATGTGTACATACCTGAGGACTGTCGGGATCATGCTCATTTGCAATGCCTGTAAACACAGACAAATTATTAGCTAAGAAAAGAATATGATCAAATAAAAAGAATCGGTAGAGATAACTAACATTCTTCAGCGTCAGAGTGCTCATCTGTGTCCCCGATTTGGACAGAACGTGCAACTGCGATTTCAGGATCATCAACAACGTTCACCATGGGATGGTAGTCCCAATTTGTTCTCCCTATGGACATCCTCGATAAATGATCGTTCATGTCATAAGAACCATAGAAAGAAGCATTATCTGATCCTGAAAACCCAAACTTGTATGCATTTGTATTCATGGTCCAGTACAGATTGTCCTGAGAATAGGCAAAGAAGGAACGTTATGTGAGCATACACAATGATAAGCTCATTTGACAACGGATGGGACATAAAACTTATTTAGGAAAACAAAAAAAAACATAAGAAAGTACCTGAGGATGCATAGTTCCAGCATGAGCATAGTTTAGAGGCCCCTGAGCCGGACCACCATAGAAATCGATGTAACTGCCAGTAGCAGCATAAGGGAAACCCGTCTCCGTGTAATGAGCATCTTCCACTGGTCTATCTCCATTCATTTCAGCTACTGCAATTGAGAAGAAGAAGAAGACAGTGAGATGTATTTAGAGGATTTGAAACAAAAGAAAGAAGATTTGAAACAAAAGAGTAGGCATTGGAGGGTGAGCAGTGTCAGAGAAATGAAATGCCTTACAAAATACGAATGACCCTAGCAACTAGGCAACTGCAGTGCAGACATATATATACTTATCCAGAGGGGGAAAAGGAACAAAACAAATTTTTAGATTTGCATAAACAAAACACAAGTCCAGAGAGCAGAAGTAGGAATATGCAGAAAGTGGCTTAGGGTCAGGTGTGAACTAAGCATACAAACAAACAAAAAAGGAAAGGAATTGAAAGACGAGGAAGGAGGCATACATACATTCGAAGAGAGTTAGAGCGGCGAGTGGCAATTGGAGACGGCAAGGGAGAATCTCGAATGATATATCTTCTGCACCGCAAAACAAATTAAGAGAAAGGAAAAAAGAGGATGAAATTAGAGAAGAAAGAGACTTACTTGAGAGATTAGTGGAAGAAGGAGGAGGAGGACAAGGGCATTTCGACCAAATTCATAGGACAAGGAAAAAGGTGAAGCGGAGGGCACTGTAGACGAGAGACGGAGGAGCAGAGGGAGAGTGTGACAGAGAGAGAGAGAGAAAAAGAAAGAGAAAGAGAGAGGAAAGTGTGGAAGGAGACAAAACGACGTCGAAGGAAGGGAAGAGAAGGGGGAAGAGAAAAAGCCGTTGAAGAAGCCGGCAAAAAGATATGTGGTTCAGTGTGGGGAGACGCACCCACCCCCAGATGTCATCTCAACCCTACATCTGTCTTCAAGTCCCGTGCTCAGACCCAGAGACAAAGATTTGCTTCTTTATATTTAAAAAAAGAAAAGAAAAAAAAAAGGAATGAGAGAGTATTTGTTCTTCATTGATGGATCAAATATTTTTAAAACATAAAGTACAGCTCTCGGCCTTGAGATTATCAAAACCACAACTTGCTTGTCTGTTTTCCCACAAAAGGAAACCTCCCTTCCATGCTTCTTCTTTTTATTACTAGCTACTAGTTGTATTTTTATCCACGGTTTAATTAGTATAGCTGTGCTAGTATAAAGTATAAACAGTGTGCTTGGATCCATGGATAAAAAAGAGAGAAGAAACGAAGGTAACTTATTATTAGAAAAGACAATGTCCTTGCTTGTCTTGTCTACTCTGTTGTCGTATGTAGGGGCAATTGAAACTCCAATGAATAGTACTACTAGTAAATAATACTCCACTACTAACATAAAAGAAAGAAGGCGGCACCTTTTACGTGTGGATGCCGGGAAAGTTGCAGACAAGCAAATACAAAAAAATAAATAAACCAAACACATTTGGTTGGTTTCTCTATGTTCAAGGCATTTGCTATATGGCTATATGCTTATTTATTTATATACCTATATTAAAATTGATGATAAAGGATCACAAACAAACTCCAATTTATGTATTCTCTCAATTTCACCAAATTAAATACATTCCGACAAGGAAGGATTACATTGAACATTGAAGGAGGAATTTCAAGAAGAAGAGACAGTCTTGAAGGAGTCGCGAAGGTGGGTTAATGTATCGTGGTCGCGGTTCCACTCGGGCGCAGGGGCGTTTACGAAATGGGCGTAGAGCTTGTTCTTGGCGCAAGTGACTGTGATCAGACTGTGTTTCCCAACCCCATCGATCTCGTACAGATAGTAGACCTGCCCTGTCTCGTCCTTCCTCTCCTCCGACACCACTTTGTCGGCGCCGGCTATCAAATCCTGCAGCTCCACGTCCGACAAGGCAAGGTTGTTCAGAATCACATCCCTCGGCGCCAGCTGTCTGAATCCCGCCAGGAATGTCAGGTACTCCTTCTCCGTCTTCTTCTTCGGATTGTAGAATTCGCTGTCTGTTCCGTTTGTCCCCTTCTCCACCTTCGACACCAGCCTCTCCTTCCACCCTTCCGGCACATCGTACACGTACTCCGCCGATGCCTTCCTGTCCGAGTTCCCCCCGTATCCCCCGTAGTTCGCCGCGCTCGCTGCCGTCCCGTAGTAAATTTTGTACGTTTGGTTTCCCTCGCCAGCCGCCGGCAGCACCGGAACCATAGTCAGCACGGAAGTCGCGGCCAATGCGGCGGCCAGGGAGGTGCCTAGACGTGATGCTATCGCCTTTGGGACGATCGGCGTTCGGGTGGCGGAGATAACAGGAGATGCCAGGAAGATTTTCGTGGCCATTATACTCTCTATGGATAACGTTTCCCATCTCAAAGCCTCTCTCTGTCTTATTTAATCACAACCCTCTGTTTCTCTCAGCGAGTTATGCTTTTTACTGAATAATTAAAATCTCCGGATAAGCCCCAAACTTTATCATATTTACATGGACACCCCCCGGATTCCCAATTAAGCTGGTGCGACGACTCTCAACCGCGAAACCCTAAACATTCATCTTTTTTTATTCTCAGGAGAGATATTCATTCATAATCAGCCCCCCGATTCCTTCTCTCGATCGCCGATGTCGAAAAGGTGCGTGCTTTACCCATTTCATTTTTGTTTTGTCTCCTCTCTTCTTCATAGGCTGACTTCTTTGTCTGAAAGCTTGCAACTTTTTTGTTTTCATTGCAAATTGATACATGTAATGTTTTTAGAATGATCCGTCTCTGCCCATCTTGTTTCAATGCTTACCAATGAAGATAAATAGATAATCTCAGGGTGTGGGCTCTTATAATTTCTTCACCTTAAAAAACGTATTCATCTACGTGGTTTAGACTGAGTAATTTGTTATGAATTCGCCATCTGGGAAAGATCTTATCACTGTTTTTTCGTAAATCTAAGCGTGTGATAATTTTCAGTCAAGAGTCCGTCAATAGTTTCATCTTCTGTTTGCTAAACAGCATTCCTTGTTCATTGATGCTCTTTTTGTCTCTCCCAACATTTTGTTTCTTCTCACTCTTTTGTTTTGTTTCCTCTTAGAATCCTTTGTAAATTCTTTGCTCACGGTGCATGCTTGAAAGGGGAGCACTGTGAATTTTCACATGACTGGAAGGATCCTACAAATAATGTAAGCTTTAACTCTGTCTTGCCTATGTATAGGGGAACCAGCTTTCATCAACTGCAAATTCCTTTGTATTGTTAATGTTCTCTAATAAACGACAATCCTATCACAGATTTGCACCTACTACCAGAGAGGAATCTGCTCTTATGGAAGTCGATGCAGGTACGAACATGTCAAAGCTTCTCGGCCCCATCCATCTGCTTCATCTTCGTCCCCTGTGCCTCGGTCATCTCCTGCTTCAGCTTCCAACCCTCTTGCCTGTGCTTTTCTTCCTAGTGTCTCGGAAAGAGATCTGAGCCCAGTTCCCTCTTCATGTTTAAAACCAACGTGGAATTTGGATTCTTTTCACCAGGATATCTTAGACGAGGTCAACACTTTTAACCCCGGTACAGTCAAACCTGAAGAACAACCCATTTGCTCATTTGCTGCAGCTGGTGATTGCCCACGTGGGAATGAATGCCCTCACATCCATGGTAATATTTGCCCGACTTGTGGGAAATGTTGCTTGCATCCTTTCAGACCCGAGGAGAGAGAGGAGCACAAGAAAGTATGTGAAAAAAAGCAGAAGCAGCTTGAAGCATTAAAACTTAGTCAAGAGATCGAGTGTTGTGTCTGTTTGGAACGTGTATTGTCTAAGGCAACTCCAGCTGAACGGAAGTTCGGGTTACTCACTGAATGTGATCATGCTTTCTGCATAGCATGTATCAGGAATTGGCGGAGCAGTTCTCCTTCCACTGGGATGGATGTCAATAGCACACTAAGGGCTTGCCCCATATGCCGCAAGTTATCATATTTTGTTGTTCCTAGTGTGATCTGGTTTTCAGCTCCAGAAGAGAAAAAAGAAATTATGGATAACTACAGGGAAAAGCTCAGGTAAAATTACATGCTTTATGAACATTGCCTAAAGTTAACTAACCGTGGACAAGGTTTTTTTCATTCTGGTGGTTTTATTGCTGTCTTTGTGTTCATCATACTTGATTGGCAAGCAAAGCAAGAAAAATCTGTATGCTTATAAGTCAGTTTTATGCTCTCTGTCTACCAGGTCAATCGATTGTAAACACTTCAGTTTTGGAGATGGGAATTGTCCGTTCGGGACAAGTTGCTTCTACAAGGTATTTTTATGCATTTAGGGTTGAAACTCTAATTAAATCAAGCAAGCTTGAATGATGTTATATAATATGCGTACCTGTTTTTTACTGATAGTGATAGGCAATCCTTTCTTAGCCGGGGGTGTATTTAAAACCATGCTGAGTGGATTAATTTTGATTCTTAGTATCTTTGCGGAGCCATTGGTTGAAATGAGTTCAGAGACATACTTGTTTAAGTAGACATTTAGCACCACTGTTCAAAATTACGTTGAAATCAGGTTTCATTGTTTGTATTTACTGCCTTGATTTCATACATGAATATTTTCTGGCATCTGTTTGAAAGCAATTTAGAATCACTATAATTGACGCCCTCTTGAAATTCTAATTGTATAATTTATACTCGAGATGCCGTCAACTATTATACCTTGCTGTCTCTTACTGATAGGCAAACCCTGCTGTTTTACATTTCCTTTTGTATTGTCTATTTCTGAGCTTACCTATCTATACTACTTATTCTCAGATGTTCCAAATCTAGAAAATTTAAAATGTTTGCTGATAACCGTAGCGTTGAAGCTTTATAATGAGTCTTGGCAATTAGTTTACATAGAGAGTTCAGCTAAGATTTTATGTCTCCATAGAAGGAAGCGTAGGAAATTGATTGATGTGATATAGCATCTGGTTACTGATATACCGTAGGCCTGAGATAAAATAATGTGATGAGTTTTCTGCATTTAGGGAGGGTGGGTTTGCAGAATTTTCTACTAAGTCCTTAGAAACCTTGATTAGTCCTTAATGGATGTTGTTGTGTTCCAGCACACTGTGAAGCCAGGTTCATATGCATGGAAATACCACAGGCCACCTCCAAGGCGTCCTCGTCCCTCTGGAACTAACTTCTCGGACGTGGATACACTTGTAAATATGATCGGGAATATATTTTCAGAAGGCGAATATGGTCCTATTGGGTTTGAAGATACGGACGATGACGAACTGACTACAACTGATATGATGATGTTACTGATGCACATGGATATAGAATCTGAGGACTCGTCCAATGAGGATAGCTATTAGCTACCCATATCAAAGTTAGTTAACTAAAGCGAGAGTCTTAGGTTATATAGCTATAATATGGTGTTGGGAGGTTGTGGTAGTTTTTATCTTTTGGGTGAAGTATAATTTGACTATTTTCCTCTTGGAATGTATATTTGATGGTGTTATGCACCTCTAAAACTCAAAGGGGGGTTGTGGGTGTGATTGCAGCATGCGTATCATGATGGTCGTTTGGAGGAAGTAGCTTTGCGGCATCTGGATGCAGAAGATGGGCAGACTGTGATAGCAAAAGATATAAGGTATTGGTGCTTACAACTTGTACCACCAGTCTCTTGTTTCTATTGATTTCAGCTTACCTCTGGATGGTTATTCGTCTTTATAGGTTGTCTGACTTCCTTGAGAGCATGCACATATAGAGTCTCTTGGCACGGCGAAGATTTGTGATAACATCTTTTTTTTTTTTTTTTCTCTTCTTGTGTCTTTCCCATTGATTGTAACGATTTGATTTGAGTTGGAAGATTATATCTAAGACCCCAATGCATTATGATGCCTTGCGGTAAGAGGGGATCTTTTTTATTAATTTTGTATTTCTAAATAATATCACTACTTCCGGCGAATCAGGAGGGCCCATGAGCGATACTGATGTAAACTGGGGCTAAAATATTTGTCAAAATCCTTTAGCTTGTTTCGCGGTCCTTCTGTTACCAACTGGAGATACCGTTCACATATCTGATAGCTGCTTACTTCACTTTCGACAAGTAAATTGGCTGCAAAGTGGTTTGATTACCAAGCTGAGCTTCTGATTGCAGAAATTTCCTCATATAAAGTACAGACTCTTGTCATTAGTACTAAGGTCTATAATAGTTGCTAGGAAGCTAAGGCCAGGACTTCTCGAATAAAAAAGCTCTAATGCTTACCAACCACCAATGGCTATGCCTCTACGTCTTCGTCTTCCTTTCTGCTATCATCCAATATATCACGCAAAGATATCCTCTGTCAACAATGGTTCTTCACCATTCACACAGCCTTCAGGTGCACACTCGATTTGCTCATAGTTAAGTTGTCTGGACGCTTCATACAGAGCAATACCTACACTCACCGAAAGATTCAGACATCTCACATACGTTTCTACCATAGGAATACGTAGGGTCCCCCCTCCATATGGTTCGTGTTTGCAGTCTGACAGCGCTTCAGGAGGTAGACCGCTTGTCTCTGACCCGAACAAGAGGTAATCGCCTGGTCGGTAAGAGAAATCCTGCATCAAGTTGTGACCATTTTTTCAGCTACCCAAATGCTAGTGATTGTTGTTATTTCTGGTTGGTAGACAACCAGAGGTATATGGAAAACAGAGGTCGAAGGACAGGCAACTTACTGAATGTATCCTTGTTCCTCTTTTTGTGAAAGCTATCATCCGTTTTTCTCCCTCCTAAACCAAAGACAGAAATATATGTCAAGGCAGACACCACACATAGGGACTTGAGCTACTGAAAAATATATATGAAAAGTGGTAAACCTGTTGCCTGAAATATTCTTGAAACTCAGCCCATGAGCTATGCGCTCTGACAACCACAAAGCTATGCTTTAAGTTAAGAAGAAGAACAGCTGATGAAAGGGCATCGATCTCACAGCATCTAACCTTAAAATAACAGATGAGATGCTCTCATGCTCATGCAAGGGACCAACAACACAAAAAACAGTAGGGATCTATACCAGTAAACTCTCTTTTCGCATGAAACCGAAATAAATTCCTATGTATTAGACAAATAAAGTCGGATACGGCCAATAATCCAAACCAGCTCGCTTTACTCTGGCGTCATCCACTTGAAAACCTAATGGCTGAAGCAGGAACAGATGACGATTAAAACATGAACACTGGAAATAACGAACAAGTCGTGTTTGCTTGATCCAAAGGGGATACTTTACCCCAACTAAATGCAGCCCAACAGCTGAGGCCGCACATGTTCTTGCAATGCAACCTGTATTCCCAGGAATCTGTCAAGGAGAGTATAAGTTTAGATCCTGATCTGGACCAAGATGTACTGGGGAAAAAACAAACTAAGAAGACCAAAGCAGATAGAACCTGAGGAGGTTCAGATATG